TTCGCTCTAACTCACGGGGACATTTTATTTCACGCGTTTAACATGGAATAAATATACACATCACGCTGCCGATTTCTCTTCACAGTGTGATGTCCCCTTCCCCCCCCCACCACCCCAATGCGTGGAGGTACTGCTATAAAGTTCTTAGATATTAACTCATATTCTTAAAGCGCTTACATAGTATTATTCTGCCTCGGGTGGGGGGATGGTGGGGGGGGGGTAGCGGCCCAGCCAGCAGCCTGGCAATGTCTCACCTCCTCCGGCTTGCCAATCTAGGCGAGGCCGCGGGCTCTGCACGGGACGAGGCGTCACCACGCCAATGTAAAGTACAATTTTATTGCATCTTTCGCTAAGAACTGAGGTTTATTGTTTACTTTTATTAAACAAATAAGTTTACAAATATTACAATGATAATGTTTGTGTGCACATAACAACTCTGATTCGTTTACTATTATGAAACTAATAATTTGCCTAATATTACAATTATAATGTTCCTGTGCAGACACTACGTGTCCCCCTAAAGTCGATGTCTGTGTGTGTGAGTCCATATGTGTTTGTGTGCGTGTAAGTCGATGGGTTTCTACGTGTGTGGGTCCATGTCTGTGTGTAAGTCCATGTGTGTGTCTTTTTCAAACGGACAACGCCCCATGTGTGTGTGTGCGTACAAGTGTGTGTGTGTCAGTCCATTTGTGTGCGTATCTGTCGCTGTGTGTGTGTTAGTCCACATGTGTGTGTAAGTCCATACATGTGTGTCACTCGATGTGTGTGTGTAAGTCAATGCGTGAGTGTGAGTCTATGTGCCTGTTAATCCATGTGTATCTAAAGTACATGTCCGTGTGTCACAGTCCATATGTGTATGTGTGTGTAGGGCAATGTGTGGGTCAGTGTATGTATTTGTGTGCAAGTCCATGTGTGTGTGTGTCTTAGTCGATGTGTGTGTGTAAGTACATGTGTGTTTAGTCAATGTGTGTGAGTCCACGTATGTCCGTGTGTGAGTCGATGTATGTGCGAGTCGCTGTATGTGTGTACGTCGATATGTGTGTGTAACTCCATGTGTGTGTATCTCAAGTGGATGTCTATGTGTGTGTGAGTCCATATGTGTGTGTGAGTCGATGTGTTTGTGTGTGAGTCGATATGTGCATGTGTGTTAGTGGCTGTGTGTGCATGCGTCCATGTTAGTCAGTGTAAGTCAATTTTTTCGCGTGTCTGTAGGTCCATGTGTGCGTCTTAGTCCATCTGTGTGCTTTATAGACCTGCTCAAGGCCTATGACACCATCAGTAGGCCTGGGCTCTGGGTTGTTCTTCGTGCTTTCGCAGTCCCTCACCCTTTGCTCATGATCCTTAAGGACCTTTCTGCTGGTGAGCGGCCCCACGTCAAACTACGTGGCCGTCAGTCAGAGCCATTCCCTCTAAACCTTGGGGTGTGACAGGGATGTCCTCTGGCTCCCACATTATTTTACATATCTTTTGACCACGTAGTTCGTGAAGCCTTCAATGGCTGTACCGGAGGAATTACCATATGGTACAGATACAATGGGAGGCTGATCGATGCCCGGGTGCGGTCAAGGGATGGCTCTCTATTGCTCAACCATGTTATGTATGCTGATGCTTTGGTGATTGCCTCTCACTGCTGCTGAACCTGGAGCTTGCCACTAAGAGGTGGGGCCTTACCATCAGCCCCACCCAAAACTAAGCACCTGCCTGGGTATTTTATACCATGGAACAATCTACCCCCACAACTCACAATTGCTGATGTGGCAGTTATGGAGAGATTGCCGAGATTCCCATACCTGGCCAGTGTGCTCATGACCGGCTCCGGTTTAACAGCAGAGGTCTCACTCCAAATCAGTCGAGCGCCATTCTCTTTTCATCGGTTGCATTACGCTGCATGGAAGCTACCTGGTCTCTCGCTCTGCATGAAGCACCAGGTCTTCTCGGCCACGGTAATACCCTCCCTTCTCTATGCTTGCGAAACGTGCACCCCCCTAATGGAACATCTTCGCCGGTTAGAAACATTTAGGCTGGCCTGCTAACGATCCATCCTGGGTTTAACCATATATGTGTGTGCGTCTAAGTCGATGTGTTTCTATGTGTGTGGGTCAATGACTGTGTGTAAGTCCATGTGTGTGTCTGCCTTTTTCGCCCGAGCAACGCCGGGTACTTACCGCTAGTCCTTTATATTAAGTTCACTTGCTTGCTTGCGACCGTGCAAATCTTTCGGTCGTTTTTTAACCCACTTCCCGTGATCCAATCGAGCTGACATTTTCCACACAGACTCGTTGTGCGTGACAATTAATGTTCGTGAATTTTTTTTTCAAAAATTTTACACTTTTTAGGACAAAAATATTATATTTAATTACCAATTGCTTAATGGTGCAATGCAATCATCTGACCCATAGGTGGCAGCCATCTCAAGCCAGAGGACGAGAAGACTCTAGCCGCCACGCATATAAAGGATTTAGAGTGAAAAACTTTGTTTTTACGGGTTATACTTGTTATTACACACGTTTACGACACACTTTTATTAAAATTGCCCTGTTGTCTGTTTATATATTTTCAAATCTTCGACGCTTAATATCTTCGGATCTTCGAAGTCTAACGGGCGTGAAAATTCAAGATTTAATTTAAAGAACCCGTCCAGGTCCACCGATCCTTGGCCTCTTCGTGTTTTTTTACTTATTTTTTTTTATTGCACTATTTCAAATGTATAAAATTATTCAGACAATAAAGGACCGGTGTTATTGTATGGATTGAGATCTTAGAATGAATATGTACATATACAAAACATTAAAATAAATTAGTTAACAAACAAGTTTTTCAATGCACACACGTTAATTTGTACTCAAGCAGTAAAACATAAATTATTTTGACCCCAGAATTAATAACATTTAATGTGCTGAATAAAAGTATGTAGTTTCCTTTCCATATGTTTAATTTTATTTATGCAAGGGAGGGAGGGAGGGGGGGTTGAAAAATGTGACGTCACATCAAAATGCGCAACTTTAAATAAATATAGACAACACTACTTAATTAAATAGACTTTTTAATAAATGTTTCATCCTACAACATCAGTGCAGCACCACATTAAATACGCACTACAATGACAATGATTTGAAGCATGTTTAATTTTTTGAGGAGGGGGGCAGAGCTTTGTGACGTCATATTTGAGGGGGGGTCTGACTTTTTGTGACGCCGTGTGACGAGGGGGGGGTAAAAAATCGTCCAAAATTGCGTGACGTCATTTATGGACGGCCCCTTTTCCCTCAACATTTAGAAACATGCGTTTAGAGTATTTGGCTTTTATACATTTCCACATCATAAGCCACTTCATTGTGTCATTTGTGGGCAGGTCGCTTCTGAAAAATAACCAATGGGCTTCAACTGGTAAAATCTCCAGTATAAATAAATATTCTGATTCTGAAATGAAATTAAAAAAATTGTTACGTTTTAAATTTCGATTTAAAGCTTTCGTGACTGCAGGGATTCATCTTCTTGGTTCTTTCGGTAAAGTCACGTAGAAGGGGAAGTAATAAAATAATAAAAATAAAACATAAAACAATTCTCACGACGTTTCGGCCACAACGCAAGCAGCCGTCACCTGAGGACGGCTGCTTGCGTTGTGGCCGAAACGTCGTGAGAATTGTTTTATTATGTTTTATTTTTATTATTTTATTACTTCCCCTTCTACGTGACTTTACCGAAAGAACCAAGAAGAGTTACGTTTTAGTTTATTTATAGTGATTTTCCTACCCTTCCTATACTTTACAATACCTATCGTTTTTTGTTGTTTTGTTTGCTGTTGCAAATCTCCAACCCAACCTGACTGGATATTTGAGAAAAACATACCTGTCAACCCCATCTCTGAATTGGTCTGAATTGGTCTGGAACCCGTGCCCTTATAAATCTCAACGTTTATCCTAAAAAAACCCATCACAAGGGAGAAACACAAACAAATAGACACAACACATTTATGATGCCCATATTGAAACGGTATGGACCTGAAAACTCAAATTCCCTGTACAAGAATAGGGGTAAACCATATGAGTTGACAAGAATGGAAAAAGAGTTTCACAGCTCATTGGATTTCTCTTCCACTCTGAAGATTCCCCACAGCGTTTCCCCCTACAACAGTGGTTCTTAACCTGGGTTCCATCGAACCCCAGGGGTTCGGTGAGTCAGTCTCAGGGGTTCGGCGGAGGTTAAGACACACACCCGACTCATATGATTCGTGATGACACGTCCGGCTTGGCCATCATTGGCTGCAAGTGATCACGCTACATCGCTTGGCCTATCTGTGCTGCAGGGAATTTGGTGCGCTCCGTAGTCGACTTGTGACTGTCGTGATGGTACGTGGTGTGATTTCTTTCTTCATATTTTAATCCCTTCATACTATGTCGAGCAAAAAAAGAAAGTGGTCGGACGAATATGTACAATATGGATTCACATGTATAACGGAACGTGATGGGAGTCAGCGTCCTAACTGCATGATTTGCAATGCCAAGTTGAGCAATTCTAGTCTAGCACCGGCAAAACTAAGGGAACACTTCCTTAAGCTGCATGGAGATGGGGAATACAAGAACACAACGCTCGCTGAATTCAAGGTGAAGAGAGCCAGATTCGATGAAAAGGCTACTCTGCCTGTTCTCGGCTTTGTACCCATCAACAAACCGATCCTCACAGCATCGTACGAAGTTGCTTACCTGATATTCTTAGTTTTTTTCGGTAAAGTCACGTAGGTAAAAATTTTTAATTAATAAAAGTAAAATAAAAATAAAATATTATTTTACTTTTATTAATAAAAATAAAATATTATTTTATTTTACTTTTATTAATTTAAATTTTTTACCTACGTGACTTTACCGAAAAAACCTAAGAATATGAATCCTTGCAGTCACGTAAGCCTCAAATCTACAATTGCTTACCTGAGTAGGACCTACAAAGATAGCGACCGGGGGGGAGGGGAGGGGCATCGGAAGTTGCGTCACACGGCGCCGGAAGTGGTCGAGGAGGGAGGAGGAGCAGCAGCGGAGGGGGGTGGAGAAGGAGCTTGAGGCAATGGCGGGCGTGAGTTTGGAGTTCGTGGCCTCGGCCGGTGCCAGCGACCCCCAAGAGCGACCCGTGGTCTTCCTGGGGCAACTTCAGAACCTGCAGAAGCTGGCGTGGGCTCAGATACGTGGCAAGCTCGAGCCTCGCGTTCCCGAGGAGGTACGGCCCGTGTACATTGTGTGTGTGTGTAGAGTTCGCTGTACGTGCCGCGGTGAGTTGCATAAAAGGTGACGTTCGTCGCGGGAGATGGAGCGACGGGGTCATTCTCGGCGTGCAGGATTGTTGGTGATCGCTGGCTTGCGGGAAGCCGTCAGCCAGCAGCGCATTAAGCGTGGCTGACGGTTACGTAATTGCCCTGGGATGTACTGGACCGTCATGGTAACGGGGAGTTGACGGCGCCCGAAGTGTGGGCTCTATGTCAGCTGAGGACACTGACGCGGGGAGACGCTTTGATTTAATGTCACTGCAGCGCTGGGAGGAGGAGTGGTGCCGCAGTGAACTCGAGTTTGTTAAACCGGTTGCTTGCGTTAAAAACCGGTAACCGCATGGGGTAAAAAATTAACCCGTAAAAAGGATTTAGAGTGAAAAGTTTTTCACTCTAAATCCTTTATATGCGTGGCGGCTAGAGTCCTCTCGTCCTCTGGCTTGAGATGGCTGCCACCTATGGGTCAGATGATTGCCTGCCAGTATTAAGCAATTGGTAATTAAATATTTTTTTTTCCTAAACAGTGTAAACATTAGGAAAAATTTTTCACGAAAATTAATTGTCTCGCACAACGAGTCTGTGTGCAAAATGTCAGCTCGTTTGGATCACGGGAAGTGGGTTAAAAAACGACCGAAAGATTTGCACGGTCGTAAGCAAGCACGCAAGCAAGCGAACTTAATATAAAGGATTTAAAAATGGTGAAAACAGTTACAGGTTTTTTCCGCTTATCTGCAAATATTTAGCAATTAATATACTTTTTTTTTTAACCGAGAAACTGTGGTTTTGATGGTTAGTGCAATGGAGTTGCAATCCAGATGTCGCTGGTTCAATTCAATCGCCCGGCGCCTCTGTCGATCGACAGATGGCGTGTGGTGCGGAGCAAAGTGTGGGTACATCCAATTTAATTCTAGAGTTGAAGCTTTCGTGACTGCAAGGATTCATATTCTTAGGTTTTTTTCGGTAAAGTCACGTAGGTAAAAAAAAATTAAATTAATAAAAGTAAAATAAAAATAAAAATCACGACGTTTCGGAGGCAACACAAGCTTCCGTCTTCAGGTGGAACCGTCACAGCCACGACAGCTCTATCACGTGAAACGTCGTGAATTTTTATTTTACTTTTATTAATTTTTTACCTACCTGACTTTACCGAAAAAACCTAAGAATATGACATCCAATCTACTTTCAAGAAGTCTCTGCTCACTGTGGCAAGTAGTCTAACGACTCGTAATCATGCAATAACTCTCGCTCATTAGAGGAGTCTTCTGCCAGCAGTGGCGTTAGCGAGTAGTTTCAGAGTTGCGCCTTTACCTGGTAGCTCAGGGGTCGGGAACCTTTTTGACTGGGAGAGCCATAAAAGCCAAATATTTCTAAATATATTTCATTGACAGCCATATAGTATTTTTAACGTATAATAAATTAAATATGTCTTACTTTTAATGCGACTTTTGGTCACGGGACCCGTGACCCGAGAAATTTTATCTTCAAAACTAATTTCTGTTTACTTTAAAATGGCACAGTATTATTAAGCAATATCACAAGTATTTTAAAATCAGTTCCAAACTGATTTTATTTTTATTATTATTATTTTTTTCAACTCAAAATTGTCTGGGAGCCATATGCCGTCACCGGAAGAGCCATATATGGCTCGCGAGCCATAGGTTCCCGACCGCTGTGGTAGCTGAACAACGATTGGGAAATGCACCACGCGGTGACTCGGGCCGCGTGGCAATTCGTGCGTACAGACATTCCAGTGGCAATGTATCCCGCCATAGGAATATGGAGTTGCCACCATTGGCTCAGTGGCTCTGACATGTATTCTTGAGTGGACCCAGCCTAGAAATATAATGCAATATAACACAGAGAGTCGGCTAACACAACAGTCAACACCCTAAGTTTACTAGGTTTGTTTTCTCTTTCATTTGTACCTGATGATGATTGCTTGTGTTTCAATCGAAACCTCGCATGCTATTATTTCAAGTAATTCCTGCAGTCACGAAAGCTCCAAATTAAGTTTGGACCCAGCCTATTAAGGTTGAAAAACAACAGTACCCTTTTGTTGGAAGTTAGTACTGTTCTAATAAGCTGTTGGATGGACTCGCCCCCGTCGTAGGAATGTGGAATGGTCATTGCCAATAGATATTAGCGGCTCGCAGTTTCTCGTTAAGACAGGTTACATTGATTTTCCAATGTAAACCTCAATTATTTAAATATATGAAAGACTGTATTTTTATTTAATCGCGTCTCTCCTTGTCATTGACACCTCTTAACTTAAAATGTTGTCGTCTTTTCCCCCAATAGTATCTCAATTGTGTTATCAGTGTCACCTCATGAGATGAAAAAACCCATTTGAAACTCTCGCAGAGCGGTGTATCCCCCCCGTGTTAGAGAACGGCTCATAAAAGTAGATATCACAGAGCTACCCTCAAATCCCTTCAAGAAATAATCATACTGTAACTTATAAATACGTGATCTCTTACGCAGTAGGGAGCAGACGCCTTCCCACCTGCCCTGTCGGAGTAATGTTCTGTTTTGTCATGTGGCCGTCAAGTTGATATTTTTATTCCTTCTAGATTTGAAGCTTTCGTGACTGCAAGGATTCATATTCTTAGGTTTTTTCGGTAAAGTCACGTAGGTAAAAAAATGTAAATTCATAAAAGTAAAATAAAACAATATTCAGGGCCTACCTTGGCTCCTCCCACCCTCAACCAGTATATATATAAAAAAACGGGTTTCTTGGAATTTCTCTCACTTGATACAGCTATTGTGCTGTGACTGTTCCACCTGAAGATGGAAGCTTGTGTTGCCTCCGAAACGTCGTGATTTTTCTTTTCTTTTTCTTTTATTAATTTAAATTTTTTACCTACGTGACTTTACTGAAAAAAACCTAAGAATTTGACATTTTTAATTCTCAGAGCTGGAATTCAGTTCAATTAGGTGCAGAACTAAATTTAATGTGATAGTTTTATTTTTGTTGTTGTTGACAGTCATTGGCAACCTGGCTGAAACCAGCAAATGGCTGCACTTGAGAACCCGGCCGGTTTAATGACAGAATGCTGGATTCGAACCCAGGTGCTCAGCGGCGCCGACTTGGCGTTCCGACTCCTGAGCCACATGAGGCAGTACAGTATTTGTTAATTATCACTGACGAGAAGAATTCTCAGACTCTGATCATCGACTCTCTTTATGAGTGGGGGAACTCTGTCCTCTGGACTTCTGAGCTGGACTCTTTTTCATGCACGCTGCAGTTTATCCCCTAAACCCCAAGCCTGCACAGTTACAATGTTCAACTCTGTACGCTACAATATCCAACCCTGTACAGGACAAGAAAAGACATATTTTGTGAGTGAACAAGTTTTTAAAAGAAGGCAGCCTAATGGGCCTGACTTGGGATAATTCTCCTGCTATTCTTACATTCTTCAACCATATTCTTAGGTTTTTTCGGTAAAGTCACGTAGGTAAAAAAAATTTAAATTAATAAAATTTAAATAAAACAAAATTAAAAATTCACGACGTTTCGGAAGCAACACAAGCCTCCGTCTTCTGAAACGTCGTGAATTTTTTAGTTTGTTTTATTTTACTTTTATTAATTAAAAAAATGTTTTACCCACGTGACTTTACCGAAAAAACCTAAGAATATGAACCCTTGCAGTCACGAAAGCTTCAAATCTAGAATTCTTCAACCATTGTCTTTAATTTTGGTTGTCGTAAGCCTGTGCCATTTACACCGAGTGGTGGGAATCCTAAACATGGTCTGATGTGACTTTGGCAATTTGCAGCACAACCCACGTTTCTTAGCTACGGTGGTTGTGAAGGTACTTATTCTAGACCACCCACTTGCCACACGAGAGATCCCGGTTTAATCGCAGGCGGCTGAAATCTGGATTTGAAGCCAGGATCTCAGCGGTGCCAGTAATGCGCTTTGACCTCTTTGAATCACCTGGCCACCTCGTCAGAGGTCGCAACCGAGTACCCGATACCCATACTCTACCCGATACCCAGCTACCCGTACCCAGCCGGGTACGGGTACGGGTACCCGTTTGCGACCCTGGTGCGGCCGGGTACGGGTAAACCGTGAGTCACTCATTTCCCAACGTCTTGTCTCTTCTCACAATTCAAGTTCCTAGAATCAACCCACCCACACCTGCAACATGGCTTGATCCCAGAGGTCGCAATCAGGTACCCGATACCCGTACCCTACCCGTACCCATACCCAGCCGGGTACGGGTAGGGTACGGGTACGGCCGGGTACGGGTACCCGTTTGCGACCCTGGTGCGGCCGGGTACAGGTAAGGAATCAAAACCCGTTTGCGACCTCTGCACCTCGTGTATCATAGCCTTGAGGCTTCATTAATCGACTGGCTTGGCAGGTTTTGTTGTTCTTGTAAGTGCCGCTTGTTACAGAGGTTCGTGGTTCGAGCCCAGTAGCTGCCCTGGTGGTTCATACTGCCGGGGTACGAACCATAAAATACACGCCAGTCTAGTTCACAGTAGCCGTTAAAGACCCCCCCCATATGTATGTTGCACTTCTTTCACACCGTACTGTAGCCAACCTGTGCTATTCGAATCGGGTAGGACATTGTAGGCCGTCATCATGATCCAAATTTGTCAAATTCACCAGAAAATTAGTTGGATGAAATCAAATAGCAACGTCGCCCCTTACTGTGAAACTTGCGAAGACCTCATCCATCTGTGAAACATAGCACCTTCGTAATAGCCTTGCGCGATAATAATGGTACAAATATCAATTAAATAATATTTTTATAGTCGCGTAAAAATATAATTAAGGAAAAGTATATACCGGGGCAGGCCACCCCTGACGATGTAAAAGGCACATAACCTACACAGACGCGTACGCAAGTGAAAAGGGATATATTTCAAGACGCAACCTAAAAGACTCAACCAACTGAAAGTACCTAAATGTTCTGGGGAAGAGCGCCATTACATACATGAGAAGGAGACACCTGGCTGCTGCTGTTGAAGACTCTTATTTGTCCCGCGACTGTGGCGATGAGGCACGGTGGTGGCGTCATTGGTTTTGGCTGCAACGACGTCTTGACCTCTCCTCCTCTCCTAGACGTGGCAGGCGGCGCTCAGCTCCCTGAACCCGAATCCCAGCGACTCGTGCTCACTGTGGCTCAACAACGCTACCGTGGCGGCCCTGCCGTCGCGCGTCAGCCGGCACAACTCCCCGTCCGCCGCCACCTTCATCCCTCGCCTGCTCCGCTCGGGGCTCCCCGGGGGGGTCTCGCAGTGCGTCGTGGTAAGTGCCGCCGGTTGGACTCCCACATCTGAGCTTCTCTGCCTTTGCGGACCCGCCACCGAACCAGCGCGGTGAATCTTCTTGGTTCTTTCGGTAAAGTCACGTAGAATGGAAATAATAAAATAATAAAAATGAAACATAATAAAATAATTCTCACGACATTTCGGCCACAACGCAAGCAGCCGTCCTCAGGTGGAGAGCTGCTTAAATAGTCGCTCCAAGCCTGGGGCTTGTCATTCAGACTCTGTCTCCTCGACAGACCTGTTCTCCACCTGAGGACGGCTGCTTGCGTTGCGGCCGAAACTTCGTAAGAATTATTTTATTATGTTTTATTTTTATTATTTTATTATTTCCATTCTACGTGACTTTACCGAAAGAACCAAGAAGATGAATCCCTGCAGTCACGAAAGCTTTAAATCGAAATTCAGCGCGGTGAAGTTCGGTACAATATCTCCCCCCCCCATCGGCCTACACAGGCCCCTCATCCAGCAGTCAATTGACCAAGTGCTGTACGATGTGAACTTGCAGAGATTGGTAAAATGCATTCAAATGTGAGGTTAATGGAGTAACCTAGATACAAATGATCAATTAACATTGTTCAATGTGTCGTGATTGTGGTGGTCATCGTGGTGATGGTTGTTTTCGTGGTGGTCATTGTGATGGTTGTGATTGTTGTGGTCGTGGTGGTTGTGATGATGATTGTGTTTCGATTTAAAGCTTTCGTGACTGCAGGGATTCATCTTCTTGGTTCTTTCGGTAAAGTCACGTAGAATGGAAATAATAAAATAATAAAAATAAAACATTAAATAATTCTCACGACGTTTCGGCCACAACGCAAGCAGCCGTCCTCAGGTGAAGACCAGGTCTGTCGAGGAGACAGCTGTCTTTACCGAAAGAACCAAGAAGATGATGATTGTGGTCATGGTGATGGTTGTCATCGTAGTGGTGATGGTTGTGGACGTGGTGGTGTTGGTTGTGGTGGTTGTGATGATGGTTGTCATCGTAGTGGTGATGGTTGTGGACGTGGTGGTGTTGGTTGTGGTGGTTGTGATGATGGTTGTCATCGTAGTGGTGATGGTTGTGGACGTGGTGGTGTTGGTTGTGGTGGTTGTGATGATGGTTGTGGACGTGGTGGTGTTGGTTGTGGTGGTTGTGATGATGGTTGTCATCGTAGTGGTGATGGTTGTGGACGTGGTGGTGTTGGTTGTGGTGGTTGTGATGGTTGTCATCGTAGTGGTGATGGTTGTGGACGTGGTGGTGTTGGTTGTGGTGGTTGTGATGGTTGTCATCGTAGTGGTGATGGTTGTGGACATGGTGGTGGGCGTGCAGGTGGTGTGCGAGCGTGCCGATGTGCTGGCCTGCTGTGGCGCCGTCTCCCGCACGTTCCCTCTCTTCTCGCGCCGCTCGGTAGTGACTCGACGTGCAGAGAAGCGCTCTGTCTCCGTCGAGTTCATCCTCGTTGGACTCAACAATGGTCCCCTTGACACGGGTGCCCTACAGGTGAGGTCACGGAGGTCGCGGAGCTTTGGAGGGCTTAGGGACTCACACAGTTTGTGCAGCCTGCGGACGTCGGCATAAACAGAGATCTTCTTCTTGGTTCTTTCGGTAAAGTCATCACGTAGAATGGAAATAATAAAATAATAAAAATAAAGTATAGTCAAATAATTCTCACGACGTTTAGACCACAACGCAAGCAGCCGTCCTTAGGTGGAGAACAGGTCTGTCGAGAAGACAGTCTCATCCCAGCTTAAATAGACGCTCCAAGCCTGGGGTGTGTCATTCAAACTCTGTCTCCCCGACAGACCTGTTCTCCACCTGAGGACGGCTGCTTGCGTTGTGACCGAAACGTCGTGAGAATGATTTTATCATGTTTTATTTTTATTATTTTATTATTTCCATTCTACGTGACTTTACCGAAAGAACCAAGAAGATGAATCCCTGCAGTCACGAAAGCTTTAAATCGAAAAATAAACAGATGTATTATCATGCGAGGGCTGTGGGAGAAGTCCCGTGTGCCGACACAGAGAGCGGTGGCGAGTGGGCCGTAACGGTGTTTTCTACGGTGTTTTCCTAGCCGTGTGCCGAATACGATTTCTCCTGTGGTGGGAATTGCACATCAGTTGATACGAAGGGCGGCACCGCGGCCCAGGGGTGGCGTTGCGTTCACTGCTTGGTGCAGACGTTCGCGATTCGATTCCACCAGGCCGTTCTGATTGTTTTACTTACGTTTCACGCGAACCTTGAAATTCTGCGTGCTGTCTACTATGAAGTGGAAGTTTAGGATCCCCTGGCAAGACCGACCAGCCTCGTGTGCTGTGCCAGGCTAACATCGGTGGCAATTGTTATCAGAATTTGTCCCGGGCCTCCCCAAGGTCGACTTAGGCTAGCCGTCGAACGAAGACGGTCAACGCATCGTGCACTTTCAGACGCGTGCCTGCGGCCATCTGGAACGCTCTTCCGATGTTAGGAAGCCACTGGAGTGATGCATTTTACATCATCTAGATTTAAAACTTATTTGTTTAGAACTGCTTTTTGTGTTAAGTTTGTAATGCTTCTTCCGTTTAGCATGGTTGGCTACGTACAGTGCGAAAGAAGTTCATCATACATATAAACTAAACTATTGTTATATTACCAGGTAAGACCCGCTGAGCTCTATAGCTTTTTTTCAGAAGCGACCTGACCACAAATGACAACTCAGCGAAGTGGCTTATCACGTGGAAATGCATTGCCGCCAAATAGTCTAAATGCATGGAGGGAAAAACCGGAGTATGCGGAGAAAAATCACAGCAGGCATCAGGGTCGGGATCGAACCCATGACCTCCTGTATACCAGGTGAGGTATTTTAACATCTCGCCATCGTGGCACCCCAAATGAGTAGTATCCCACGCGGCTTGTGTGTGTGTGCGTGTGTGTGTGCGTGTGCGTGCGTGTGTGCGTGTGTGCGTGCGTGTGTGCGTGCGTGCGTGTGCGTGCGTGCGTGTGCGTGTGTGTGTGTGTGCGTGCGCAGTGCCTGACAAGCCTGGCAGAGGGAGTGCGTCTCGCCGCGCGGATCGTCGACATGCCCTGCAGCGAGATGAACACCGACCACTTCCTGGAGGTTTCCCCCCCTTCTTCTACCCATTGGCATTTATACAAAAAATATATCGTCGGTACCATGCGAGGGTGGCAAACGCTATCAAGGATTTTCTTGAAAGTATCTCTCGGTTGGATTGCAAGCCGAGTATGATAGCAAGGTAGCCATGGTAGGCTTCATGAGAAAAATGTTGTAGTAGGTTTTTACCCTTTAAACTGGTACAAAACTGACACCTTTATACAAGGCATCATGTTTGCAATAACCACAACACAAGCAGTCAAAATGCAAACAAAAAGAAACAACTCTGATGATGGTAAGGACAGTGCATATCATTACCATCATCAGAGTTGTTTCTTTCTGTTTGCATTTTGACTGCTTGTGTTGTGATTATTGCAAACATGATGCCTTGTATAAAGGTGTCAGTTTTGTACCAGTTTAAAGGGTAAAAACCTACTACTATATTTTGCCACTGGTAAAGGAGGTCTCTCAGAGAAAAATGTTGTTAACAGAGGGTACCGGAGTATGTCTGAATATCGATTTGGAAAATAAAAACTCGTTTGATATGAAACATCCGGAATATGAAAATACATGCGTCGATACAACAGTGTGTACACTAAGCTTCCTACCCATGATGGACACTGCTCATGCCCGTGGTGGACATTACCCGTGGGTGGACATCACGTGTGGTGGACACTGCCCACGGTGGACACTGCCCACGGTGGACACAAAAATGTGTCCACCAGCATTTCACGAAGAACTGCATTGTGCTCCCTCTTGTCTTAGGTCAAAAGCAAATTAAGTTTCGGCAAAATGTGACCACCGATTTACAGCAGCAGTAGTACTGTGATAGGGGGAGGGGGGAGGGAACTCTGTCCTCTGGACTTCTGAGGAGCTAGAATCTTATCTGACATTCTACTGGAATTGGGTTACCGACTCTTTCGGAACCGGTAACCGATTCTAGATTTGGTTACCGGTTTAAAGGTTAACGGCCCAAGTCGCGTGGTTACGTAACCTACGCCCTCTGCCTCCGGCGCTCGGTGCAGGAAATCGCGGTGGTTGGCAAGGAGCTGGGATTGACACCGACTGTGATCCGCGGAGAGGAACTCAAGGAGCGCGGGTTCGGAGGTGATTGACGGCGCGCACACATCGCACCGCTCCCATCCACGGCCTCGCCCTTCCGCTCGCTCACTCGCTCGTCAATCCACTCCGCTTCGCTCGCTCACTGGCAGTCAGTCACCTCCTCGTGACCCTTCCGTCGCTACTACGACCACCATGGTTTCCATTCTCGTGAATGTCGTTAATTCCTCCAGCCTTGCAGAGGACTCGATCGACCAGACACTTGACTGTGTCGTCTCATCCATCACACGGAGTTGAACCACCCCACTGCAATTCACAACATGCTCATTCTCCGACCCGCTCGCTCGCTCGCTCACTCACCTACTCGATAACCAACCCATTTGTCATAACAGGACCCTGCGGGGTGGGCTGGTAGGAACGAATAACCAAAGAATATAAACATAATGTATTATTACACTTGTTTAGCCAGGAAAGCCCCACTGAGTCAAAAGGATTTTGTAGGGTCCTGCCAAGTGTTTGCAGTAGGGGGCGATGTTGCTACACGGACGGTCGGACGGACGGACGAAATAATCTATTGGTGGCTGGTCCACTTCGTTCCTACCAGTTACAACAAACTCAATCACCAGCTCACTCACCACACCGCAGGCCACAACAGTTTGCTTTCTGTTTCTTCCCTCACACTGCTCCCATAGTCTCTCTTTACACCGATAACCTTGTGCAAATCAAGAATCGCCTAAACTTTTATCATCCGATACAACTTTAATACTCTTAGGTTTTTTCGGTAAAGTCACGTAGGTAAAAATTAAAATAATAGAAATAATAATAGAAATTAAATAATAAATCACGGCGTTTCAGAGGCAACACAAGTCTCCGTCATCAGGTGGGACCGCTGTGACGGTCCCACCTGATGACGGAGACTTGTGTTGCCTCTGAAACGCCGTGATTTATTATTTAATTTCTATTATTATTTCTATTATTTTTATTATTTATTTTTACCTGCGTGACTTTACCGAAAAAACCTAAGAGTAAGAATCCTTGCAGTCATGAAAGCTTCAAATCTAGAACAACTTTAATAGTTGTGTTTTGTACTGGCCGCGCTTGGCCAGACTAGGTGCACTTTGTCCACGAGTCGGACCCAGGTGCTATGGGGGTCGACTGACCCAAGGTGAGGGGGAGATGCAGCGGCACCCGCGCAAGGTGCTGCTCCCCTCCCCGTGCGTGCACCCAGCTTGGTACGGCAACCTGTGTGCCTGCGTAGGCATCTACGGCGTGGGCAAGGCGGCATGCAACCCGCCGGCGCTGGCCGTGCTGAGCCACAAGCCCGAGGGGGCGACGCAGACGATCGCCTGGGTGGGCAAGGGCATTGTGTACGACACGGGCGGGCTCAGCATGAAGGGCAAGGTGGGGCCTCGCTCACAATCACTCGCTCTCACTCGCTCTCACTCGCTCTCAATCACCAGTCCTAGGCCTCTCCTAGATCGACTCGGCTTCGAATGAGTACCTGGTGTGGTGTGTAAACATCGCCACTGGGGAGACGAAGGCGGCCGGGCGTGGTGTTGGCCACCCACCCCCTCGCGTGCCGCGCCGGCCTTCATAGGTGCTCGCTAACATCACTTGTACAAGCGGTCTGTTCAGGCCAGAGGTCGCAAACGGGTTTTGATTCCTTACCCGTACCCGGCCGCATCGGGTACCTGATTGCGACCTCTGGGATGAAGCCATGTTGCAGGCGCGGGTGGGTTGATTCTAGGAACTTGAATTGTGAGAAGAGACAAGACGTTGGGAAATGAGTGACAAACGGTTACTCACCAGTGACTCACGGCCTACCCGTACCCAGGCCGCACCAGGGTCGCAAACGGGTACCCGTACCCGTACCCGGCTGGGTACGGGTAGCCGGGTATCGGGTAGGGTACGGGTATCGGGTACCCGGTTGCGACCTCTGGTTCAGGCTAATCCGGGGATCTTTGTCTTTTGTGCGCGTGTGCAGACTGCCATGCCCGGCATGAAGCGGGACTGCGGTGGGGCAGCCGCGGTGCTGGGCGCGTTCAGAGCGGCCGTCAAGCAGGTACAGGCGCATGCTAAATGGAAACGCAGCCGCTCTCTCTCACGTGTGAGCCACACGGCCCAGCGGTGGCGCATTTGCCGCTTGAAAGTAAACTCTTTTGTTTATTTACCAGGTAAGGCCCACTGAGCTATGAAGCTCTTTTTCAGAAGCGACCTGGCCACCATTGATAGCTCAACGAAGTGGCTTATCACGTGGAAATGTATAACAGCCAAATACTCTATAAATGCATGACGTTGATTCTAAATGTGGAGGGGAAAAAACGGAGGACCCGGAGAAAAATCCACGTGACCATGGGTAGAGAGACATGCAAACTCCAACTATCCAGCAGGCGTCAAGGGTTGGGATCGAACCCACGACCTCCTGCATCCCAGGCGAGGGAGTTACCATTTCATCACCACAGCGCCCATTACAGAGGCTTGTGGTTGGAATCCGATCGGCCACGCCAGCTAATAACGCGGTGTGTATTAACTGTAACGTACTACGCGCCGTCTGCTTCACTCGGTGAACGTTAGAAATCCCCCCCGGTGACATTTGAAGCGAGTAGGCTATTCTGTCAGTGTCATGGTTCAATTAGCCAAAATGCTACATTTTACTGCAAATTACCGAATTGTTTTTTTCTTGCTTACGATGGAGTTAAATGCCAATGTCGAGGTCTGCTGGCCATAGGAGGGCTTCAGCGTAGAGAATTCGCATACGAGGACACCCCTGCCATGCATAGTCCCATGGGATGTTGGCTATCAACAACAAGGCAACTCCTATGACTAATTGGGAATGGGACGCAAGCGTAGGATTGATCACCCTGTCGCTGGCCGCCTTTGGGGAGGGTGTATAGTATGAAAGGCCGAAACACCCTAGGAACCAATGGTTCACTACTGACGATGCGCTCCCCAAATTTCACCAGGCTCACTGTTCCGGCTGAAAACCAAATCGGTGGGGCGTATGTGTGCATGCGACAACACGATTGGATTGCCTCCGGTCGGTGGTGGTGGAGTGTTTATAGTTAAAAAAAAATGACAATACGCCTACACAATTATCTAACCCCAAAAGAAACCAACTACAAATTCTAATATTGGTTGGTCACGAAAGCCTACGTATAAGCCTTCCCCGCACCTCCGATTAACACGGTTGGCTACGTACGGTGCGAAAGAACTTCAAGACAGCCGACTTGAACCACTGTGGGTTACACGACCGCTGTAATGAGTTTCACCCCAGCCGGCGGGGAATCTGCGAGTGATCAGCGTCGCCCACCTCTCCTGTGCCTCCGCGTCCACGCGACCAACCCCCACCACCCCACCTCTTGTCGTCGCCGCAGGGCTTCTGCGAGAACCTGCACGCCGTCTTCTGCTTGGCGGAAAATGCGGTGGGGCCCAACGCCACTCGGCCAGACGACATCCACCGCCTCTACTCGGGAAAGTGAGTCGTCCCACCCTTCCGCCCGACTGCCACCCCCACGTGGCGCAACGGGACGTGCGGTAGTGCGGCGTCGCTGAACGGGAGGGTCGAGCCACTGCACAGACTCTCGTTGCTGTGCACCATCATCATCATCTGCCACCACCATGAACTTCAGAAATGTCACTCCCATCGTCATCGTTACTGTCATCAACCTCATCATCGGCACCGTCATGAACACCAACATCATCGCTGCCGCCACCACCACAAACCTCATCAACATCACTGCCATTTTCTTGGTTCTTTCGGTAAAGTCACGTAGAAGGGAAATAATAAAAAAATAAAACATAATAAAATAATTCTCAAGACGTTTCGCCCACAACGCAAGCAGCCGTCCTCAGGTGAAGAACAGGTCTGTCGGGGAGACAGCGTCATTCAGACGCTGTCTTCCTGCTTGCGTTGTGGCCGAAACGTCGTGAGAATTATTTTATTATGTTTTATTTTTATTATTTTATAATTTCCCTTTTACGTAACTTTACCAAAAGAACCAAGAAGATGAATCCCTGCAGTCACGAAAGCTTTAAATCGAAATCACTGCCATTGTCGTTACTACCATCCTCAACCTCGTCATCTACAATGTCAAACTGCCATCATCACCATGACTGTTGGCCTAATTGTCGACATCTTCATACACCGGAGTTACTTTCGCATCTGAGACTATCCTACTCTCTGGAGCTCACAACTGATTAAACAAAATCAACTTGAATCGCCAACAGGGATGATAACGATGCTGACGGGAATGATGCTGCTTGTGCTGACAATGACATGGACGACGACGACGATGGTGAACATGTTGCGGTGATGATGACACTAATGATGATGATGTTGCCATCTCGGTTTCCGCAGGACGGTCGAGATTAACAACACGGATGCGGAGGGCCGCCTCGTGCTCTCGGATGGCGTGGTGTTTGCTTCCCGCGACCTCGAGGCCGACATCATCCTGGACATGGCCACACTGACCGGGGCACAGGTGAGCGTCAAGAGGTCGCAAACGGGTTTTGATTCCTTACCCGTACCCGTACCCTACCCGTACCCATACCCGGCCACACCAGGGTCGCAAACGGGTACCCGTACCTGGCTGTACCCGTACCCTACCCGTACCCGGCCGGGTATGGGTAGGGTACGGGTATCGGGTACCCGATTGCGACCTCTGGGATGAAGCCATGTTGCAGGCGCGGGTGGGTTGATTCTAGGAACTTGAATTGTGAGAAGAGACAAGACGTTGGGAAATGAGTGACAAACGGTGACTCACCAGTGACTCACGGTCTACCCGTACCCGGCTGCACCAGGGTCGCAAACGGGTACCCGTGCCGGGTACAGGTAGCCGGGTATCGGGTAGGGTACGGGTATCGGGTACCCGGTTGCGACCTCTGGTGAGCGTGTGCCACTGACATACGCGCGGTCTAAACAACAAAACAAACTACCCCCCCTTTCCCCCTCCGTGCGATTGGCGTCACGTCACGAGATGAGACGACCACTCGGAACACCTGCACAGGCCACACGGGGCGGATGGTCTTTTGTGCCATGTGTATGTTGTGTGTGCGTACGTGTGTGTGTATATCTTCTTGGTTCTTTCGGTAAAGTCACGTAGAAGGGAAATAATAAAATAATAGAAATGAAACATAATAAAATAATTATCACGACGTTTCGGCCACAACGCAAGCAGCCGTCCTCAGGTGAAGACAGCGTCAGACGCTGTCTCCCCGACAGACCTGGTCTTCACCTGAGGACGGCTGCTTGCGTTGTGGCTGAAACGTCGTGATAATTATTTTATTATGTTTTATTTTTATTATTTTATTATTTCCCTTCTACGTGACTTTACCGAAAGAACCAAGAAGATGAATCCCTGCAGTCAAGAAAGCTTTAAATCGAAATGTGTGTGTATACTTGTGTGTTGCTTTCATTTGTATGTTGTGTGTGCCATGTGTATGCTGTGTGTGTGTGTGCATACGCGTGTGTTTCGAAACATCTACACTGGATTGAAACATTCAGGCTGGCCCTGATTACAATCCATCAAACTGGATTGTGGGAGGAGCTCACAGATCCTTGAAAGGCCTGGACACAGTCCCATCGCTGAGCTCCTCTGGCAGTCGAGGCTGCGTTGGCTGGGTCATGTAGCCCACATTCCCAGCCGCTGCATGTCTAAGCAGCTTCTGTTTGACTGGATAGATGGGGCAGAACGGGTGCAGTGCAGGCTATAAAAGAAATTGGCTCATGTGGTACAGGAGGATATGGAGCTGGGTGGGCTTGCTGATGCCTGGTATCACTGGTGTCAAGCCTCTGTAGAGGAGGCTCGTGAAGGACGCTACTGGTTGGTTGGAGGCAGTTGCCCTCCAGCAGCAATGGAGGGCAGAGGAGCGGTACTCATAACAAGCGGAGCACTGGGTGGCTAAAACGCAGCAAGTTGGCACTGTGGGCAGTAGTTGGTGCATCTGTCGGTCATCTCAGCCAGTTAACCCATAACACACGGATCTGTTCCAAGACCTTTGACACTTCACATGACCTCAAAGTGTACCTAGCCTGGCACAAGCACTGTCGTTACGGCACCGCCACCTAATAACGAATAGCAGCTGTTGTTGTTGTGCTGTGCGCAATGTGTTTGCTGTATGTTGTGTGTGCCAGGTCATATATTCCGTATGTGTGTGTACATGTGTGCTATATGTGTGTGTGTATACATGTGTCTGTGAGAACGTGTGTGAGAGAGCGTATGAGGGCGGGAAGCGGTAGTGTAGTGGTTAGTGCACTGCGGTACGAGTACGGTTTCCCACTCGCGACCAACAACAGCGTTGAATAGCTGAACTAGTCCCTGGCCTCCCTTAGGTTGAATCAGCATTGGGGAGACAAAGGCGGCTGGGCGCGATTGGCCACCCACCTCTGCATGTGCCGTGCCCGGCCTCCACATACGTGCTCACTAACGGCACTTGCCCTGACGGTCTGTGTGTTTCAGTTTTCAGTTTCATTTATTTGGAATAACCCTGTGAGCCATTCGGCTCTTGATTCGGGTGCAACCACAACAAACAATAAAATTACAAGATACATTTAAAATTTACTGTACGCAATTTGAAACATCCCCAGCAAAAAACAATAAAATCTTCCAGAAAAAAAGCACCGTTTGTTTATGCTGCGTACTAAACTGTGCAAAAAAAAATCCCATTTTGATGTTAGTTCACAATAACAATCAAAATACAATTTAGATACAAAATGTAAGTCTAACTCTATACTACGTAAAAAAAAAATCTGTGGGGAGGAGGGGGGGGGCACCTTTTGTTATCTGTTTGCGTGCGCCCGTGGGTAGGGCATCGCCACGGGGAAGCACCACGCGGCAGTGCTCACCAACCGCGCTGAGTGGGAGCTGGCGTGCTGCGTCGCGGGCCGGCGCAGTGGAGACCTGGCCCACCCGCTCGTCTACTGCCCCGAGCTGCACTTCAGCGAGTTCTCCTCCTCCGTCGCAGACATGAAAAACTCCGTCGCGGTGAGAGCCTCCCCTTGCTCCCCTGGGTCAGAGGTCGCAACCAGGTACCCGATACCCGGCTACCCGTACCCGGCTACCCGTACCCGGCCGGGTACGGGTACCCGTTTACAACCCTGGTGCGGCCGGGTACGGGTAGGCCGTGAGTCACTGGTGAGTAACCATTTGTCACTCATTTCGGGTAGGGTACAGGTAGGGGTAGGGAACGGGTACCGACGGGGACCCCCTTGACTCTTCCACAGACTGACCAGCCTCGTGAAATATGGTCAAACATACCACGACCGACACAGCTTGGGGGGACGTCTTCTTCCAGCAGTAACCCGACGAGGGCTGTAAACACATCTGTCATCGGGGCTTCTGTGTCACTTCTCCCATCTCCCGAGCATCTATCTCCGAGGTCTGTGCTCAAATGCTAGCACCGGCACTTGTGTTGGAGCTGCGTTGTTTCGGCAGCGACTCTGCACACCAACCAAATTTACCAAATTCGATTGGGATTTACACACAGCAATCATTACCTCCTCCTTCCAGATTGCTGCTTGTTTTCAGGCCACCTGCCGAGTCACCTTGTGCTCACATGGTTTGCTGCCATTGGGGGGGGTGCCCTTTCAATTGTTTTGAGACATGATGTAATGTAAAGTGCTCAGAGATACCCCGGCATATTAGAGGGCGCTTTATCGTAAAACAATTGTTAATACTGGTAGGAACCGCCAGGTTACACCAGCCCAAAGGGGATTATTTTGTCCGTCGTGGAGGGAGGGGCTGGGTGGGAAGGGAGGGGCTGGGTGGGGAGGGTGGGGCTGGGTTAGGGAAGGGGCTGGTCACCCCGTGGTGCCCTTATAAAACTCAACGTTTAACCTACTCACGCCGGCTTGTGCCCGCACTCACAGTCGGGCATATTTGCGGAATACACCACGCCGCCGTTGACCCTGGCCATTGACCGAGCAACCCAACGTTCCTACCAGCTCCCTCCGCAGGAATGTGTTTTTATCCCGCTGACCGCCGTAACGCTGTCCCCGTCCTTGCTGCCTGCCAGGACCGGGGCAATGCCCAGAGCTCGTGCGCTGGCCTGTTCATCGCGGCGCACCTCGGCTTCGACTGGCCGGGTGTGTGGGTGCACGTGGACATCGCGTCTCCCGTGCATGTGGTGAGTCTTGGCTACCTCTCCCCCTCCCCCCCCCCCCCATGTATTGCCTGTCTCTCTGCCCAAGTCTTACACTGTCTCATCACGCCTTGCCCTCGTCACTCAATTGTCAGGCCATATGTCGGATCGTGTCTCTCGCCCGTCTCCTTCGAGCCTTCCGAGTGTCTTAATCGTTTCTCCCCTGTCCACCCCCTCGTGTTTCTCTCGTCTCCTCTCGTCTCCTGTGTCCTCAACGGTGTATTCCCCCCCCCGGTCTCCCTCTGGCTCACTCGCTCACCTGTAGGGCGAACGTGCCACGGGATTTGGCGTGGCGCTGCTGCTCTCGCTGTTTGGCAGCGCCTCCGATGACCCCCTGCTGCAGCTCGCGTCTCCCCTCGGTGCCGAGCAACCGGGGCAGACGCCACCGCCCCCCTCTTCTGCCAACGCTGCAGCCACCAACCAATCCAAGCGACGCCGCCTCATCTAAGACTCGGCGCACTCGTCCGTTTAGTCTTCCGGAAGCCCCTGCGTCTTGACTTTGTCTTTCGCGACATTGTAAACGCGTCTGTTCCGCCACGACCTACGCAGTATTCACCACTTGCTCCTTCTTGTGATTCCACAAATATAATCCCGCAATGCGGTGGTGCCTTCTTCTAAAACGCTTTTGATTGTTTCGGTTGAGAAAATTATGATTTGTTTTTGATGGAATGTCTTCCGGGCCATCTCGGAGCGCCTCTGCACGCGATAAGCGACTTGCATCACATCTCATCTCGAACATACGAAGGGCGCCGCCTTTGGCAGCTGTCCCTTGGTGGCATTAAGTGGCTCAGCACCTGACTGACAAGCGGTCATTTGGTGGCCAGTTTGGGGCCAATGATTGTCCTCTCAATTGAGTAATATGAGTCATCCGAATTTGCGGGTAATTCGCTTTCGGCAAATTTGGACAATGACGCCGGCACGCAATGGCCTACTTGTTTCAAGACCCAGAATATCATTTTGCGTTGCCGTTTTGAGATTGACCCCCATTTGAGGAGTATCCCATAATCATCGAGAGGTGCGACCCCCCCCCCCCCCCCCCCCCGTGGTTGCTGTGCCACGGCCCTCAAGGGTCAAACGTCAATCCGCTGCCCAGCGTTTGAGATCCATGTGTGATAAGCATATTTAGCGCGGACGATCGAGTGGTTCGTGATGACGCCGAGACATCTTCGTCGTGACAATCGGGAGACGGTGATTGCAAATTGCGTCAGACAGCGGTAGTCGCCACCCCCCCCCCCCCCGTTCAACGTGAAGCAGCAGCCGTTGTGTTTTGCCGTTTGCAACCGCGTGTGTCGGCGGGCACGATGGTCCAGAACGCGGACCGAAATTTCGGGACGTCGTGCCGAAACACCACGCGGTAAGAACCCGACGACGCCTCGGGAGAGCTGTACGGAACAATCCGCGAAAACTTAACCCAGTATTCATCGACGGTGAAACGGCGATACCATGCGTAACGTTGCCGTTATTACTGCTGCATGTTAAAGTTTACTGCCGCAATGTTGAACAATGTTAAAGAATTCTAGATTTGAAGCTTTCGTGACTGCAAGGATTCATATTCTTGTGTTTTTTTCGGTAAAGTCACGTAGGTAAAAAATTACAACTAAAATTAGTAAAATAAAAAAGTAAGCTATCGTGCTGTGAAGTAAAATAAAAATCACGACGTTTCGGAGGCAACACAAGCTTCCGTCTTCAGGTGGAACCGTCACAGCACGATAGCTGTATCAAGTGAGTATCAAGTGAGTATCAAGTGATACAGCTATCGTGCTGTGACGGTTCCACCTGAAGACGGAAGCTTGTGTTGCCTCCGAAACGTCGTGATTTTTATTTTACTTTTATTAGTTTTAATTTTTTACCTACGTGACTTTACCGAAAAAACCCAAGAATATGAATATTAAAGAAGTTCTAAAGAACCGAGGTGTGTCAAACATCCAAAGGGATAGAAGAGGTTCATCTGATCATGCCTGGGTCTCTCTAAAAATGCGTTAAACCTGTTGGATTTGTTCACCTTTGGAAATAAACCCGAGCGATATAACGAAGTGAAGTGTGTACCAATAAAAGAGGAAAGTCACAGATTTCTTAATTTACAAGTTCTCCGGTGGTATTGACAGTTTTGGATACTCCCCTTTGGCGTGTCAGCACCCCCATGAGTGATTACCAAAGTCCTGGTGGTGAGTAGCGGTGGTGGCCGCTCACCTCAGGGTGGCCACACCTAGACGACATTTTTAGACACGGGCAGACAAACTCAACAGCCACATAATACACGGGGTGACGGATTCTAGTCACGGCTTTGTGTGTTTCTGGTAATATATTCTCAGTCTCAACTCGTGAATTCTCATCGTCCAAATTCTAATAAACCACGGGAAAGTTATACAAAGTCTCTGTTACTTTTGTCTCGAGCCATGGGCCCCACGCCCCACCAAAAAAAAAATAACAACCTCATACCAGGGCAAGGCTTAAGGCCAAGAGAAAATAACGTTGCATTTAAACAAGACAGACACCACAAGTCAAATAGACCAGACCAATGCCAATTGCAGTTAAGCGTCTCCAAAATATGGCAGTTCTAAGCTAATTTATGGGGGTGTGGGGGGGGGCATTTTCACCGATAAGACATCAGTCAGTGTGAGGGCCGCCACACATTTGAAAGCATTGGAGTTTGACGGCAGCGCATTGATGGGGCATTTTCACACAAGTGTATTGTTGGGGGCCAACGTGAGTGGCTACCAGTGGCCTGCGGTCCTTGTAATGAAGAACACTGCCTTCAGGTTTAAACGCCCGGGGCCTTAAGTGTCCAGCGATGGAACAGATAGATCACTACAATTAGTAACAAAATAAGCAGACAATGCACCTTCACATATCTTTCGGTAAAAACAATTTTTAAACAAATCCTCAGCCTTCTGGGAGTGCTCTTGTAATTTGTTGACCCGCCCATACTGGACATCTGTGATTAAAAAGAGCTTCATAGCTAATCGGATTCCTCCTGCAGTCGAAACAAGGATTGCGATTCTGAACAGGAGGAAGCCGGACTGCTGTTGAGACAATGAACACTGAAACCGGTTTGAAGTTTGCTTGTTTAACCAGTGCTGCTGGAATCACTCCCAGAAGGCTGTTTAACCGATAGGATGTGTAAAAATACGTACATTGATGTACGTGGAGGGACAGATGGGAAAGTGTATTGTTTATTTTGTTCATGTGAATAAGAGGTCACTTGAAGTAGTTGTGCAACAGGAGGATCGTGACGCACCACTCTGACAGTTTCGGATGGACACATTGAGAGCACAATTGGAAAATATTTTAAAGGGGAAAAAAAATATCCCCCCAAGAAAATGTTTAGAAATTTATTGTCGGTATCAAGCGTTCCTTAAAAAAAGAGACCCACATGACTACAAGCACTGGGACATCAGTCCTCCAGTAAAATAATTGTCTACATTGATACAGAGAACAATATAACATTTAAGGATGACGAAACAAAATATACATTTAGAAAACAATGCATTGGAATGCTGAACGATTGCTGGTCTAGTTTAAGGGTCACATTGGCATGCTACCAGAGGTCGCAATCGGGTACCCGATACCCGTACCCTACCCGATACCCGTACCCTACCCGATACCCGGCTACCCGTACCCGTTTGCGACCCTGGTGCGGCCGGGTACGGGTAGGCCGTGAGTCACTGGTGAGTAACCGTTTGTTACTCATTTCCCAACGTCTTGTCTCTTCTCACAATTCAAGTTCCTAGAATCAACCCACCCGCGCCTGCAACATCGCTTCATCCCAGAGGTCGCAATCGGGTACCCGTACACGTACCCTACCCGATACCCGGCCGGGTACGGGTAGCCGGGTATCGGGTAGGGTACGGGTACCCGTTTGCGACCCTGGTGCGGCCGGGTACGGGTAAGGAATCAAAACCCGTTTGCGACCTCTGCGTGCTACCGACACACTCAAAACCAGTGGACAGGAGGACGGGTGGCTCCGGTCCAACACGGCGAGCGGGTATCGCTAAAATCCTGGGCTCGAATCCCGCATTTCAGACACACCGGGGCTTTCAAGTGTGGAGATGATGGTCACGGACAACTTACACATAGAGACCCACACATTGTATGGAGCCCGAGCCACAACCCTCCCATAGAATTAGCACAGAATGAGGTGGGAAATGGGCCGGGTGGCCCGTATTGAGCGAGTACTGCTAAGGGTCTGGGTTTTGAATCTGGGTTTCAGCCGACTGATCCAACTGGGTGCTTAAATGTCGAGTTGGCGGAGTTAGACTGGTCACCAAAGACAAAGATCCCTCGAATAGCCTTCACAGACTGTTGGGGCAAGTGCTGTTATTGAGCACCTATGAAGGCCGGCGCAGCACACGAGGGTGTGGGTGGCCAGCACCACCGCCCGCTGGATTTGTCTCCCCAAAGTTGATGTTTACACACCGCACCAGGTACTCATTTATGGCCAAGTCGACCTAGTGGCGGGAATCGAAATCGGGTCGCCGGGTTGGTAGCGCATCCCACTAACCACTACACTACCGCTCCCCACCGGTCACCAATGACTTGTACACACACATTGATAAATAATCCATAGACGTAGCTAATTGAGTTGTGATCAAACGGGCGTTAGATGTAATGGGTTGATGGTCTCAGAGTCGTCACTAATGACTGCTAAAAAAAAGCCACCGTGTGAAATTTGATTTTGTGACTTGGCTAAATTCCAACTCTGAGAATTCATGTTTTTTTTTACAGTTTAAATGTTACGTGACAATATCAAGCAGAGTGTGGGGGTCGTGGGCCATCTCCCGTGTAAAAGATAAACAGGCCACTCCAAGCAGTGTTCGGGTGGTCCTGGAGAAAAAAACATCTTCTGCACTGCTTTGCAAGTTTAATGAATGATTTTTCATTTCATGGCAAACAAAAAGCACAATTGGAATAAATTGGGGGGAGGGGGGGGAAGACCAACAAATATTTCAAAACAAAAACAGTGGTTAGACCCTAATACATATTTCAAGCATCCTAACGCGAGATTGTCCTTTTAGCGTATCTTGTTTAGGATGTTTTGTAAATACTTCACTACTCTTGACTTTATTCAAGGACGTGATCTCAACGAGTGTTGCTGATGCCACCATCCCACGACATCGCTTCCCTCCTCCTGTTCAGCAGATTGATGATCTCAAATCCAGCCACCGATGAACGCGCATGCAAAAAGCATCACATTTGCTTGTTTACGTAACTTGGCAACAATTCCGGCTCAAATGAAAAATAAAATTCGGCCCGACTGCCCACACGATGACCATTACACGCTGCAGCAGGGCATGTGGAAACGTTCAGCGCCCCCCCCCCCCCCCCCCCCCCCCACGTGTCAGAAGTAGTGCTGCAATATTAAACTAAAACTATTCAACTATTTCACCAGGTAAGGCCCACTGATCTACGTAGCTCTTTTTCAGAAGCGACCCGGCCACAAGTGACGGCTCAACGTGTAGCAGCCAAAAACTCTCAAACGCATGTTTGTAAATGTGGAGGGCAAAACCGTAGGGCCTGGAGAAAAGAATCCACGCGATCACGGGGAGAACATGCAAACTCCAAATATACAGTCGTCAGGATCGAACCCACGACCTCCTGTATACCAGGCGAGGGAGTTAACATCTCCTAGTCACCGCAGCGTCCGTTTTCAGATACGCTTCCGTGGCCGTCTGGAACTCTCCCTTCTGATATTAGGAAGCCACTGGAAGTATGCACCTTTAAATATACATTGAAAACACATTTCTTTACAACTATTTTTTCTGTTCAGTTGTCCTTCCCCCACACCTACGGTTAGCACGGTTGGCTACGTACGGTGCGAAAGAAGTTCAACACATTTCGATGTAAAGCTTTCGTGACTGCAGGGAATCATCTTCTTGGTTCTTTCGGTAAAGTCACGTAGAATGGAAATAATAAAATAATAAAAATAAAACATAATAAAATATTAAATTTCGATTTGAAGCTTTCGTGACTGCAGGGATTCATCTTCTTGGTTCTTTCGGTAAAGTCACGTAGAAGGGAAATAATAAAATAATAAAAATAAAACATCATAAAATAATTCTCACGACATTTCGGCCACAACGCAAGCAGCCGTCCTCAGATGAAGAACAGGTCTGTCGGAAAGACAGTGTCTGAATTTCAGACACTGTTTTATTTGTATTATTTCCCTTCTACGTGACTTTACCGAAAGAACCAAAAAGAAGTTCAACACACATACACGCATGCACCGCTGTGAGTGCGAGGTCACAGCTGATGTTGAGTTTCACCACGCAACACCCAAGAGCACAATAGGAATACAACATGAATGTACAAACCGCACAGATGCCACTGACATGGTTGCACTTTTATCTATCAAATACACACAGGATTGTGAGGTGGCCAGGAGATGACAGTACAGCGAGCAGTTTCACGAATGCTTGAGCGGCATTCCCTTGCACGCTTGGTGCTTTTTTTTTGCGGTGCCCCAGCAAGTTGTTTCCTCGCACATGCAGTGTTCTTAGAAATCACAATAAATGTTGTATCATGTATATGTTGAACTTCTTTCGCACCATACGCAGCCAACCGCGGCATAATCGGGAGGTGCGGGGGAAGGCTAACGAATAATGCAATTCGGAAAATGAAAAAAATCTTTGAGCTCTTCAGAATTGAAACATTTAGCGATTTTCCAAAACAGCGCAAGCGAAGGATCCTCCTGAAAGAGAGAACTAAAAACCTGGCGAGACCTTTGCTGGGTAAATAAATGACGTTCATCGTGAGATGAATGCTAACACTGGGGCGCAGTCGGCATGACCTATTCCTGAAGATTCTCGTTCTCCACAATGTTTGACCTCTTGTTCGCACACAAACGAATGCGTGCACGTGTATACGTGCAACTATATACAATTGTCTACTGCTATGCATGTAAATATATATCATATTACACTCACCCATTCAAGTGGATACTTGTCGACAAGCATCATGCAGTTCACCAGCATTTGTTCAAGAAAGTCTGGCTCTGCTCATGAGACGCTATGTCAAATGCAGCACAGAGTTTTGCTTAAGTTGAACCAATGCTGCTGAAATTATGTTGCTGCCAGACCGTTTGGCTAACGGGATGAGTATTTTTTGTTTAAATTTCATTTCACGGAGGGGCAGATAAGTGGAGGCGATTTGGCGGCTTGTTGTGTTACTTATATGTTCAATTGTTTTGTGTTAACAAGTCTTTATACAGCCCTGCATCCAACCACTCACGGAGGGGAAGCCCTCCCCATGCCATGTTGGTCGAGGGCAATGTTTGACCATACTTCACCACGCTGACCAAGTGTGGGTCGGCGAAGGGAGAAGCCAGGAACAGTTTCGGATATGACTAATCACCGATGTTGCCCGTGGCTGGAATTCGAATTTGGGTTTGTTGTGCAACGTGCTAACCACTGCGCCAACGCTTCACCCATAATCTGACGTATGTAATGATTCTAGATTGAGGCATTCGTGACTGCAAGGATTCATACTCTTAGTTTTTCGGTAAAGTCACGTAGGTAAAAAATGAAATTAATAAAAATAAAATAATAATAAATCACGACGTTTCGGAGGCAATACAAGTCTCCGTCATCAGGTGGGACCGTCACAGCCAGATTTGCTGCATCAAGTGACAGTCCCACCTGATGACGGAGACTTGTGTTGCCTCCGAAACGTCGTGATTTTTTTATTTTATTTTTATTAACTTTAATTTCATTTTTTACCTACGTGACTTTACCGAAAAAACTAAGAGTATGTATATAATGATGATCGTGCTAGCACGCATATGTAGTAGCACGTGTTATCTATCTTGCTTTGCTTCCAAGATCTGAAGGGAACGTACATTCTGTATGCATAAACATTTGGTCCACATTTCAGTGTTTCCTACGGACTTAAAGTCGAAAAACGTTCACGTACATTCACAAATAATTATACTGAATTCTCTGGATTATAAGAGACACTCCCAACACCACCCAAACCCCCCCCAAATTTCAAAGCAAACGTAGGAGGGCGTGCGTCACATAATTCGAGTAGCTGCGCTGTGTGACTTTGTCTTGTCTTTGCGAGCGCCGGGTGGCTAAAGCACAGCAAGTTGGTACAGTAGGGTGCACAGGTGGTGCATCAGCCAGTTATCTCGGTCATCTCGGTCAGTCGACCCGTGGCACCTGCTGGGTCTGCCCCGTGACCTCCGGCCAGCGGGCGTTCGACACTTCACGTGGCCTCAAGGTGCACTTGGCCTGGCACAAGTGTCGTGGTGACGTCACCGCCAATTAGTGGCGAATGGCGGTTGTTGTTGTTGTCTTTCAGATGGAAACTGCCTCGGTAGCGCACGATCACAATCACTCATTACTTCCATACAAAAATTTAATTGCAGCACCACACCTGCCACCACCATTAAGGGGGGAAAAGGTGATCGGATCTCCAACCCCCCAGGAACAGGTCTGCAGGTTTGCAGAGAATTTCATAAGTCTTGGGAAAAAGGAAACCCCTCAGCTTAGATAATATCATACTCTTTGGTTCTTTCGGTAAAGTCACGTAGGTAGAAAAATAACAGATCACGACGTTTTGATCGCTACACAAGCAATCGTCATCAGGTGGGACAACCACAGCAAGAAACACTTCTGAAGTAGACGAAAGATCTACCGTGTTTTACTTCAGCAGTTTTTTCTTGCTGTGGTTGTCACACCTGATGACGATTGCTCGTGTTGCGATCGAAACGTCGTGATCTATTATTTTTCTACCCACGTGACTTTAGCGAAAGAACCAAAGAGTATGGATTCCTGCAGTCACGAAAGCTTCAAATTAAGATAGATAATATCATGTTGAAAGATGGGGTTGACCCTGATTTGGGCTGCCATGCCTCAAATATTAAGAGGAAGGAGCCGCTCCCTGCGAGTGGCTGGCTGATGTGCCATCTGTTGAGGAAGTACGAAGGGTGATCCAGATCCTGAGACCAGAAAAAGCGCCGGGCAGAGATGACCTCTCAAGAAAACTGCCGTGGGAGGGTTGTGTGCAGGCTATATCATTGCAACTGTCTGGTGCACAGAATGGGTTCTGCAGGATGGGAAGGATGCCCAATGATTGCAACTATCATCACGGCATCTCCCTCTATGCCAGGAAATATCCTGACGATGATTAGTCAACATCCCCTTTGCTGAGGAGAGGCCTGTGGAACCCCATTGTGGTTTCAGACCAAGGCGTTTCTGCAAAGATGCCAAATTCTCCATCTCATCGTCTACACCAGAGATGTGCGGAATGTCAACAGGACCTACATCTCTTCTTTATTGACCTAGTCAAGGCCTATGATATATTCATGCTTACAGGGTCCCTGACGCTCTGCTCACAATCATTAAGAACCTTCATGCAGGCCCCGGTCAAGTTTTAGATGGGAGTCAAAGGCATTTTCTGTTCACCTTGGGGAGCGACAGTGATGTTCTCTAGCCCTTACACTATTTAACATCTTCTTTAACCACCGAGTTCAAGATGCTTTCCATGGCTGTACTAGGTGATTTTCCATCAGGGGCTGATCGATGCCTTGGTTTGATCAAGGAATGGCTCCATATTAGTCATCCATGTTAGTTACGTTGATGAACTGGTATTTTTTGTTCACTCTGAGAAGTCGTTGAAGACTCTGCTGCTGACCCTGGGGCCTTACCATGAACCCTGCCTGGATATTTTAGGACATCAAATATGCCAACCAACTCAACTCCCCATCAGTAATGGGGCAGTTGTGTATTGAGTGGAACGTTTCCATATCGGGGCAGTGTGGTTACGGCCAACTCTGGTTTGGCAGTGGAAGTCTCACTCTGAATCAGTCGAGCAGCATTATCTATTCATCAGCCGCGAAACACTGTGTGAAAGGTACTCGGCCTATAGTTACAAACAAAGCTCGAGGTCTTTTACGGACATTGAGGCTGGCCTGCATACACTCCATCCTGGGTTTAACCAGACTGGAATGGACATAGAGTCCTATCAGTGAGCTCCTCCAGCAGGCAAGGCTGCATTGACTGGATTAACAGTCAACGCATGTAGCCTGCATGGCCAGCCACCGTATGCCCAAGTAGCTTCTGTTTGGTCGGACAGAGGGAACTAAACGGGAAAGGCACAGGCTGGAGATGAGATGGACCGATGCGATACGGGAAAATGTGGATCTGATTGGACTTGCTGATGAGTGACACCAGTGGTGTCAAGATCAGCCTCTGTGGAAGTGATTCGTCAAAGACGCTACTGGGAAACTGAAAGCTTTGCCCTCCAACAACAACGGAGGAGTGACGCTTACTACAACGTGTGAAGCACCGGGCGGCTAAAAAGCAGCAAGTCAATCAACCCACGGCACCTTAACGTGGTCTAAAAGTGCACCGAGCCTGGTACAAGTGCTATGTTAATGGCTGTTGTTGACCAGATATTTGTATAACTTTATTGACCACGAGGCACACGTTTGGGGTGCATCTCACTTTTTCCAGAATGTTCTTATAATCCGTCGGTAGGAATGCGTGAAAACTCATCGATTAAAAACCCAACCCCTACACCGCAGCTTACCACCCAGGCCCAACCCTCCAACATAGCTCGCGACCCGGACCGAGACCCAACCCGGGCCCCGTAGATTATGAAGCAAGCAACACGAGCACAGGCCCTTAACACCGGTTTCACACCCCGAGCAGTTGGATGCACACAACTAAATTGCTCTATGTGGGAGTGCCTCTGCAATCGGTTGCTTATTCTTGGATGAGAGCACAGACTTCGCCTTCCCGATGTATAGCGATGCGTTCCATCGCGTGACGCATTCACAAACTGCGTTTGATAACACTGGTCAACAAAAAAAAACATTTCTGGCCTGGACTTTTGCAGCTGTTTTAGACTAATTTCAGGGTGCTGATTCCAAATCTAATCTCAGATTTTCTCTATCAGATCTCATTTTTATGCTATCGGCATACCCCATTTTCATTGATTTTACCCGAAATTAACTGTGTCACTTATGATTGCAAGTTGTTGCGAGTCAGTGACTGCTTTAGTGTTAAAATATGGTGCTGTATTTTTAGGATAGTGTGTTTAAAATATAATTTTATGTAGATATCCACACTTATTTAATATTTTTCTTCTGCAGTTTATATTGAAAATGCATTATTTGATATCTCAAAAACCTGATGTGATAGACAAAAACTGATGCCAGATTTGGAATCAGCACCCCAAAATTACATTAAACCCGTTGAAATACCTTATGCCAGAAAAAGTGTGTTGACCAGTGTTATCAACTTAAATAAGTAATCCAGAATACAGGGTGACCCAAAAAAAACAGGCCCCAACTCTAATAACTCTAATAGGCACGGGGCCCGTTTTTTTTGGGTCACCCTGTACAAGCGCCATTCAATGTTTGTTGTTGTTGGCGCATCTACTACTCGCCGAGAAGTGGAAAAAGCAGTTGCAGGCGATCGATAAGGTTACGCAATTTCGAGAGCCATTAGATAGCCGCAACTCCTCGCGGAGACGTGGACAAAGCAGTTGTGTGCCGGCGAGTTGCGCGATTTGGTTACGGGACGGATTGCTCGGGTGTTAGGCCCGGTTTTAAGCGGGCAAGCGCGAGACCCCTTCCAACCTGCATAGTGCATTATCCCTGCTGCATGCGGGTGGGGAGGGTGGAAGAAAACAAAAAAGCCAGTGCAAATATATATACCAACAATACAGCGTCACATATCCCACTCGTTGGGGACTGGCATATGGGGCAGAGGCGAAGGACGGCCACGTGGCACGGTGAGTCGCACTACGTGCGCGCAAAACGGGTCACGGGACGAATTCAAGTGCGGCTCGATTTAACGCGGGGGAAACGCTTGACTGCACGCTAAGGAATTGCTCAATTGGGACGACAACATTGGAATCGGCGCTCACCCACAAGCAGAACAACGGAGTCGCCTTGCGTCGACGCACAGGGACAGCTGCCACTGAGGGGGGGGGTGCCCATCGAATGGTTGAGATGCGTTGCGATGCAAGGTGAGTTGTTGGGGTATATTAAGCCAAGTGTTATATAAATGCAAAGATATTATCACGATACTTTTGTGAAAAGGTCGGATTTGTTATTAGCTGTGGAAACTAGTATCTTGTTACAACCATGCACAGCTACCGCACGGGTGGTTAATTGATCGGGTCGGATATGCGACGCTGCACTGCGTTAAAACAATTTCCGTAGAGTATTCAAAACAATATGCATATTTACGAGTTGACCTTTTTAGAGGTAGAGCTATCTACGTTTGCAGGAGCGCATTCGTGACCTAGGCTAAAAATTGTGCATCGTCGTTGTCTAGCGATGTGCGTAACCCACCGTGTCCCTGCGTATAACAGGGTGGGAGCGGGGGTCCCAAAATTATGATAAAAAAAACATTGGAAATTTGACGATCACAATTACACCCAGCTGCCCTGGCGCAGTTCGGCAGCGACGGCCTTGTCACTTTGGAGTGTGCAGGGTCCAGAATTGTCTTGTGACATTTTGGTGATTTTTTTGCAGTGGTTTATATCTTTACATTGTTTTTTTCAATTTTTATACAAAAAGCCATCGTAATAATAATAATAGAAATAATTAATTATTGTAAATGGGTAACGTTTGTTCTTCACGGAAATATCTGGATTTGTAAAGAGGACGGATTTAGTGTATTGCCCGCCCAACCCCCTTCACTCAGCATTTTCCCCACTATCTCGAAGGCGCGCTTTACGATCACCGTGTCATTAACGTAACTGTCCCTACCCACCCGTGTGATTCGACGAGCGGTGGTACGACTGCCGTAGTCTCGTTAACTCCTTGATGTCCATTTTTTTAATCCAAGAGCCATTCAGGGGAAGGATGTGGCGCATGAATGAGCGACGAAACCCGTTGCACGCATTAACACATTCTCTGTAAGAATTAGCATAATGCTATAAACGATCAAACGATTTATGGCAACAATTAAATTTGCGCCGCTGTGAGCGCAGTAATCTTTCTCGTTGTCCCCTACAGCCACCGCTGTCCCCGTAATGCAGCCAGCGCAACGGTCACTACAGCTCATCCTTGTCGTCGTCGTCATCCCCACCATCATCAAGGCCATGCGCGCCTGCTCGGGCATCGTCCCCAGTTTCCGAGTTCAGCTCTCTGGCGATTTTGGGCCGTATCTCATGTCAGTCGACGCGATGTGCCGACGTTTCGCTTGGCGTGCCACGAAAAAGCTTTTTCAGCCTCGGAGCGGAACGGTGACAGGTGTGGCTCCATCAGCAACTGAAATCGAGCGCCGAAGAAGCTCCCCAAACGTGAGAAGCGAGACGCCGGGCACCACGTCAAACAACGCGCGACACAAGTCGTCATTGTAACAGTCACCGCCCCCCACCCCTCCCTGTACCCCCCCCCCCCGCCCAAACCTCATCACCCACCCACCATCACCGCCGCTCGCCAAACAAAGCACGGTAAGCGACGAACAGCAGGGCCGGCAAAATCACCGCGGCCAGCTGGTATAGCAACGGGTACGGCGCAGCGCGTCTGCCGCGGACCTGCGGGGTCCCGTCCACCTGTCGCACTAGATTGCCGTTCGGCCCGTCCGCGAAGACTCCGTCCGCGCGTTGATTCTCGACGCGGCGTTCCGCCTGTCCGACCGCGCGCAGCCTGGGCTTCCCATCCACATCTCCCAGCCCGTCTGCACGCACGCCGCCACCTCCGTCCGCGTGCACGTCCCCTGCTGCGTCTTCCCGTCCGGCCTCGCCCTCGCCCGCCCGCACTTCTTCCCGTCCGTTATCTGCGTCTCCCTCCAAGTCCGAGTCCGCTGGAGGCGGCGGTAGCTCGTCCCGTCCGTCCGCTCGTCCGTTTGTCCGCGAATCCCTCGGAGCGTCCACGCAATCGTCCGTTCGCGGCTTTGCCCGCTCGTCGGCAAGCTCGCCCACCGGCGGCTCTCCCCGTCTCCCAATCTGCGCGTCTCCCTGCGAGCCGTCGCCCGCCTCTACCTCTTCCCGTGCGTCGCCTGGCCCGTCCGACTGTCCGTTAACGCACCCGTCCACCAGCATTCCACTCGCCGGGCCCGTCAGGGGTCTGTCGGGGAGTGCGGGGGGGTTTGCTTTACCCTCTGGGGTTGCCGGGAAGAAGGGGGGCGACGTAGGCTCGAGCGAGCGGCGGGGGGGCGGGAGCGGTGGCGTGTTTGGGGGGGGTGGCAGCGGGGTGAGGCGGAGCATCTCGGTGTCCTCATCTTCAGCGTCGCTGTCTTTGTCATCGTCCTGCCAGGAATAAAAAAGAAAAAACTGAAATTTTGTTTCATTTGCTCATATTTCTATTCGCTTCATTGTCGTACTCGATTTTTTTCATCTTGCAAGCTTCTGCCACTGTGGCAACCCACTACTCACCTGGTTAAACAAAAGCAGTGCAAGCTTTACGCGAATATTTCACGTATTTATTGCGCGCCCGTTACAAGTTTGTTCAACCAGCTCAAGAGACAAGGTCCGAGTCTCATTTATTTTCCTTCCCCCACGCGTCTGATCAAGGTAACTAGGCCCAGGGTTCCATTCCTGACTCAGGCGCCTTTCTGTGTGGAGTTTGCATATTATCCCCCTACTTTGCATGGGTTTCCTCCCAGGTTGTTTGATTTCCTCCTTTAGCAAAAAAACAACACAATTTAACTGGTGTTGAATTGAAAAATTACCTGGGATCAAAGACAAAGATCCCCGTACAGTCTTAATAGGCTGTTGGGGCAAGTGCTGTTAGCGAGCACCTATTAAGGCCTGCACGCACACATGAGGAGGTGGGTGGCCAGCATCACGCCCGGCCGCTTTTGTCTCCCCAGCGGTGATGTTTACACACCGCACCAGGTACTCATTTGAGGCTGAGTCGACCTAGGGGAGGCCCGTGACCGGTTCAGATGATCGTCACCAGTGTTGGCCGTGAGCGGGAATCCAACTCGGGTCGCCGGGTTCGTAGCGCAGCGTGCCGACCGCTACACTTCCGCTCCCCATTGTGGGATCACACACAGTGGCTGCAGGGTTTTGGTAGTACATGTTGTTGATGCCATTTATTGTGAAAATTCCGTCACAGTTCCTATGATTGCTTTTTCATTGCTTTCATGGCTTTATTTTGGTGATTTCGAAAAGTGTATTGGTTTAGCCATGTTTGTTTGTTGTAGTACAGAGTTAGACTGATGGCCTTAATCTAAGTTGTCTTGTGGTTGTTGTTGCTGTTGTTTGACTTGCATCCCACTGGGATTTTTGCACACAGCGTTGGTGTACGGTGTTTTTTCTGCAATATTTTGCTGTCTTTTCTTGGATTTTCTGTTTGCACTTAGTCACATATTCACTTTAAGATGTTTTTTGTTCATGTTTTTGTTTTTTTTTGTTGCGGTTGCACCCGATTCAAGAGCTGAATGGCTCACAGGGCTATACCTAATACATGAACTTGAACTTGAACATCGCCTCCCCTACTGCAAACACTTTAACGCATGCAAACTTAAAATGTAGCAGCAGCAGCGGTGGTATGACTGTGATGCTCACCTGGGAGTGCGCGTCTTCCCCCAGCAAGGCGAGGTATGAGAAGCGCAACTGGTCGGCTGTCTGGATGAGGCCCATTCGGGCGCGTCGCATCGACAGCAGCTCGGCTCGCACGTCCACCTCGCCTCGCTCCGACAGCTGCAAGAGAGCGGAGGAGGGCGACAAATGGAGCGTAACAAGGCACAACAATCGCCCACCGTCCCTCGCCAAGATCGCTTGGGAGGTCATCGGGCGCCAAGGTGGCGAGATGTTAACTACCTCGCCTCGTGTACGGGAGATCGTGGTTTCGATCCAGACCCGGACACCTGCATATTTGGAGTTTGCATGACCCTCTCCCTGTGGTCGTGTGGATTTATTCTCCGGGGTCCTTCGGTTTTACCAATTAAGCCTGGTGCAGCACATGAGGGGGTTGGTGGCCAGCACCACGCCTTTGCCTCCCCAGTTGCGATGTTTACACACTGCACCAGGTTTTCATTTGAGGCCAGAACCGGCTCAGATAATTGTCACTGGTGTTGGCTGTGAGCGGGAATCGAACTCTGGTCACCGGGTTCGTAGCGCCGCGCGTTAACCGTGACACTACCGCTCCTCACATACATACACACGCACACCCATGTACACAGATACAGATCAGAGATCCCCCGTATAGCCTTAACAGACTGTAGGGGCAAGTGCTGTTAGCGAGCACCTATGAAGGCCGGAACGGTACACGAGGGGGTGGGTGGCCAGCACCACGCCCGACCGCCTTTGTCTCCCCAGTGGCGATGTTTACACACCGCACCAGTTACTCATTTCAGGCTGAGTCGACCTGGGGGAGGCCCAGGACCGGTTCAGATAATCGTCACTGGTGTTGGCCGTGAGCGGGAATCGAACCCAGGTCTCCAGGTTCATAGCGCAGCGTGCTAACCGCTACACTATCGCTCCCCACACACCTGTGGGGAGCGATACACACACAGACAAGCTGACACCACGACCACCACCGCCGTCGCCGCCACCAACGCGTTTAACTGTCCCTACCAGTGCCAGGCAGGCGTCGACGAGGCAGAAGGAGCCGGAGCGGCCGATGCCGGCGCTGCAGTGCACGACCGTGGGGCCATGGCCGCTGTGCAGGACCCCCGATGCGCGCACCGCCTGCAGGAAGGCGCGGAAGCGAGCGGGCGACGACGGGACGCCGAAGTCCGGCCACGCCGTGTAGTGGAACTGCAGCACCTCGCGGCGCTCCCCGCTCTGCGCGACAACACAGTCGCGGACGTCATCAGATGTGCGTACGTACGTACGTTTAACTTCGTTCGCGCTGTACGCAGCCAACCGTCGTGATCGTAGGTGCGGGGGGCAAGGACCAACTAAACGGAAAAAGCAGTTCTCAAGAAAATAGTTTTCAAACCTAGATAATTTAAAAGCTTCTTATACCGTGGAAATGTATAGCAGCAAAACAATCTAAATAATCTAAACGCATGCTGAGGTTTCATTGGTGTGAGGTCAGTAGTCACGGGGGTTGGGGTGTGAGTTGCGGGAGCGAGGGGGAGGTGGTGGGTGGTTGTGGGGGATGGTGGTGGGGTGGTGGGTGGTGGGGGGGTGGCAGAGGTCGCAAACGGGTTTTGATTCCTTACCCGTACCCGGCCGCACTAGGGTCGCAAATGGGTACCCGTACCCGGCCGGGTACGGGTAGCCGGGTATCGGGTAGGGTACAGGTATCGGGTACCCAGTTGCGACCTCAGGGGGGTGGTGGTGGGGGGTGGTTGTGGGGGGTGGTGGGGTGGTGGTGGGGTGGTTGTGGGGGGTGGTGGTGGGGTGGTTGTGGGGGGTGGTGGGGTGGTTGTGGGGGGTGGTTGTGGGGGGTGGTGGTGGGGTGGTTGTGGGGGGTGGTGGGGGGTGGTGGGGTGGTTGTGGGGGGTGGAGTGGTGGTGGGGGGGGGGTGGTGGTGGGTGGTTGTGGGTGGTTGTGGGGGGTGGTTGTGGGGGGTAGTGGGGGGTAGTTGTGAGGTGGTGGTGGTGGGTGGTTGTGGGGGGTGATGGGGGGGGGGACACAGGCACCGGCAGGAACTCCAGCTCGAGTCGGCGCATGGTGAAGCTCTGGCGTTCGCGCTCGCGACGGAGCACCACACGCACGCCCGTGTCGTCGAAAATCATCTCGGGGTGGTCAGGCAACGGCCAGTACCGCTCGCACTTAATCTGCAGCAGCGCACACACAAGGCAAAGATCCACCGTGCATCGTCTTAACAGCAGACTTTTGGGGCAAGCGCGGTTTGGGAGCACCTACGAAAGCCGGCACGGCACACAAGGGGGTCGGTGGAAAGCAAAGCACGAAGACATAAATCCCCTGTGTGGCCTTAACAGAGTTTTGGGGCAAGTGCTGTTAACGAGCACCTATGAAGGCCGGCACGGCACGGTGTTCATAGCATTAAAAATCAGCTACTGTGCAGGTGCTGGGTGACTTGTTACATCGCAAGATCGTGGGAGGTTCAAGTTCAAGTTCATTTATTAGGTAGAGCCCTGTGAGCCATTCGGCTCTTGAATCGGGTGCAACCGCAACAAACAAAAACATGAACAAAAAACATCTTAAAGTGAATATGTGACTGAGTGCAAACAGAAAATCCAAGAAAAGACAGCAAAATATTGCAGAAAAAAACACCAACGCTGTGTGCAAAAATCCCAGTGGGATGCAAGTCAAACAACCAACAACAACCACAAGACAACTTAGATTAAGGCCATCAGTCTAACTCTGTACTACAACAAACAAACATGGAGGTGGCAGCAGCTTGAGGAGACCCTTCATCCAGCAGTGGATTGACCATGGCCAATGATGATGATGATGATGTCCAGAGGCAGCGCTGGGAAACTCACCGAGTTGTTTTCCACGAGCCGGTTGAGCATGACCACGGCCCGCGAGCCCTGCTCCCACACCATCTGCCAGAAGTGACCGCACGTGTGTGGCAGAGGTCCCTGTGTGGAGGGAGCAAAGGGAGTCGTGGAGCAAGACGGGTGGGGGCGGTTGTTAAAATTGAGATGAGCCGCGTGTGGTGGTGATAGTCGTGGTTGGTGGTGGTGGGGAGCGGTAGTGTAGTTGGGTTGGCAGCTGCGCTACCAATCCAGCGCCCCGCGTTCGATTCCCACTCACGGCTACCATCACCAGTGATGAATATCTGAACCAGCCCTGGGCCTCCCTAAAGTCGACTGAGCCTCAAATGGGTATCTAGTGCGATGTGTAAACATCGGTACGTGGCAGACAAAGGCGGCCAGGTATGATGCTGGTCACCTTCAGAGGTCCTAGCGAACAGCACTTGCAACAAATAACAGGGCATCTCCCTCCTCAGTGTGCCGGGAAAGGTCCTGGCAAGGATGATTCAACGTAACCTCACCAGTCACACTGAGGAGAGGCATGCAGAGCGCCATTTTGGTTTAAGATCAGGGCGGTCCTGCACAGATGCCATATTCTCTGTCCGCCTGCTTCAGCAGAGGTGTAGGGAATTTCAACGGGACCTCCACCCAGGACCTCCATCTGCTTTAATGACCTGGTCCAGGCCTATGATTATATCAATAGGCCAAAGCTCTGCGTTATTATTCGGGCTCACAGATCCTTGAAATATTGTAACACAGTTCCATCGGTGAGCTCCACCGAGAGACTGCATTGGCTGGGTTATGTAGCCCGCACGCCCAGCCACTGCATGCCAAGAGGTGGAAGAGCAACGCTCAGACTGAGCGCCGGGCGGCCAAAACGCAGCAAGATGGCAAATTGGAGAGGACAGGTGGGGTCATCTATCAGTCATTTAAGTCAGTCGACTCTTATTCTCTTGGTCTGTGCTGTGAACTCCCGACAGCAGAAACCCTTCCACACTTCACGTGATAGCCTCAAAAGTGCATCTAGAATGGCACAACCGCTGTGGTGACGTCCCCGCCACTGAGTGGCCAACAGATGTTGTTTATGATTTCTACGTAGGTATATGCTAAACTATAGACTATTTTTATTCAACCAGGTAAGTCCCACTGAACCATACATCTCTTTATCAGAAGCAACCTGGCCACAAATGATAGCTCAGAAAAGTGGCTTATTACATGGAAATTTATAGCAGCCAAATATTCTCAAACACATGTTGATTCTAAATGTAAAGGAGGAAAAACCGGTAGGACCTGGAGAAAAATCCATGCGGCTACAGGGGAGAATACACAAACTCCATACAAACAGGCATAAGGGTCAGGATGGAACCCATGACCTCCTGTATACCAAGCGAGGGAGTCAACATCTTGCCACCATGGCAAGAATGCTTGTAGGTGTACGCGTGTATGTGCGTAGGTATCCGTGCGATCATGCGGGCACCTGTGTGAGTATGTATTTGCGGCCGGCTTGGGGCACGCACACCAGGCTGGCATTGATGTAGTCGTTATCTCCCCTCTGCAGCTTCACCCGACTGTCGTCATCTGGTCCCCAACGTCGCAAAAATACAAACACCCCCCCCCCCCCCCCAAACAAGTAAACACCAGACAAAGCAACGCCCTCCGGGTGCGCTATCAAAAACACGGGGCGAGGAGGGCGCTGACAATGCGGCCCAGCGGGAGCACGCTCGCCGCTCATTGCAGAGGTTCATGGTTTGAAATCCAGCGGCCGTCCCAATAATTAATGCCGGTCTAACAGCTGTAATACTGCACGACGTCGCACGTAAGAGTGCAGACCATTGCATCGTGGCGTTATTGGTCCAAATTTGAAAAATTACATCGCAACTGACTGAACTCTAACCCCGCATACACAGAATCAACCACGCACACACACAGAATCAATCCCGCACACACAGACTCAACCACGCACACACAGAATCAACCACGCACACATACAGAATCAATCACGCACACACACAGAATCAACCACGCACACACACAGAATCAACCACGCACATACAGAATCAACCACGCACACATACAGAATCAACGACGCACACACAGAATCAACGACGCACACACAGAATCAACCACGCACACACAGAATCAACCACGCACACACACAGAATCAACCACGCACACACAGAATCAACCACGCACACAGAATCAACCACGCACACAGAATCAACCACGCAAACACACAATCAACCACGCACACACACAGAATCAACCACGCACACACAGAATCAACCACGCACACACACGGAATCAACCACGCACACACACGGAATCAACCACGCACACACAGAATCAACCACGCACACACAGAATCAACTACGCAAACACACAGAATCAACCACGCACACACAGAATCAACCACGCACACACACAGAATCAACCACGCACACACAGAATCAACCACGCACACACACACAATCAACCACGCACATACAGAATCAACCACGCACACACAGAATCAACCACGCACACACACAGAATCAACCACGCACACACAGAATCAACCACGCACACACACGGAATCAACCACGCACACACACAGAATCAACCACGCACACACAGAATCAACTACGCAAACACACAGAATCAACTACGCACACACACGGAATCAACCACGCACACACACAGAATCAACCACACACACACAGAATCAACCACACACACACACGGAATCAACCACGCACACACACAGAATCAACCACGCACACACAGAATCAACCACGCACACACACGGAATCAACCACGCACACACACAGAATCAACCACGCACACACAGAATCAACTACGCAAACACACAGAATCAACTACGCACACACACGGAATCAACCACGCACACACACAGAATCAACCACACACACACAGAATCAACCACGCACACACACGGAATCAACCACGCACACACACAGAATCAACCACACACACACAGAATCAACTACGCAAACACACAGAATCAACTACGCACACACAGAATCAACCACGCACACACACAGAATCAACCACGCACACACACACAATCAACCACGCACACACAGAATCAACCACGCACACACAGAATCAATCACGCACACACAAAATCAACCACGCACACATACAGAATCAACCACGCACACACACAATCAATCCCGCACACACAGAATCAACCACGCACACACAGAATCAACCCCGCACACACACAGAATCAATCACGCACACACACAGAATCAACCACGCACACACACAGAATCAACCACGCACATACAGAATCAACCACGCACACATACAGAATCAACGACGCACACACAGAATCAACGACGCACACACAGAATCAACCACGCACACACAGAATCAACCACGCACACACACAGAATCAACCACGCACACACACAATCAACCACGCACACACAAAATCAACCACGCACACACAAAATCAACCACGCACACACAGATTATGGACACACACACACAGACTCAACCACGCACACACACAGAATCAACCACGCACACACACAGACTCAACCACACACACACAAAATCAACTACGCACACACAGAATCAACCACGCACACAGATTGGGGGACACGCACATGGGCTGACGTCGCGGTAACGGTTCAGCGTGCGGTTGAGCGGTAGGTGAGCCACGCGGCACGAGAAGTTCGAGCTGTCCCGGGCCAGGTCCTGCACACGTGCACACACGCACACAGACCTTAGGATGCACGGACATCAACCAGTGAGAAGCGTGCAGAGCAGCTCAAGCATACACCACGTGTATAGAGACATCACCACGCACACGGATAACGTGCACACAGACAGCGTCACACGCACAGATTGCTAAGTGTACACAGTGCCACGCGTACACACCTCGTGTACACAGTAACAGACCCGAACATGTGCAGACAGCACACAGACATCACACAGGCATAATCACACAGACATCACACAGACAGCACACATACAGCACACAGGCATAATCACACAGACAACACACAGGCATCACACATACAGCACACAGGCATAATCACACAGACAGCATACAGGCATAATCACACAAACACACAGGCATAATCACACAGACAACACACAGGCATCACACAGACAACACACAGGCATCACACAGACAATACACAGGCATAATCACACAGCCAGCACACAGGAATAATCACACAGACAACACACATACAGCACACAGCCACACAGGCATAATCACACAGACAACACACATACAGCACACATACAGCACACAGGCATAATCACACAGACAACACACAGACAACACACAGCCACACAGGCATAATCACACAGACAACACACATACAGCACACATACAGCACACAGGCATAATCACACACACAACACACAGACAACACACAGGCATAATCACACAGACAACACACATACAGCACACATACAGCACACAGGCATAATCACACAGACAGCACACATACAGCACACAGGCATAATCACACAGACAACACACATACAGCACACAGCCACACAGGCATAATAACACAGACAGCACACATACAGCACACATACAGCACACAGGAATCACACAGACATCACACATACAGCACACAGGAATCACACAGACATCACACATACAGCACACAGGAATCACACAGACATCACACATACAGCACACAGAAATCACACAGACATCACACATACAGCACACAGGAATCACACAGACATCACACATACAGCACACATACAGCACCCCCTCACAGCAAACAGGCAGCACACAGACAGCACACAGCCAGCACACAGCCAGCCACAGGCAGCACACAGGCATCACACAGACAGCACACAGGGATCGCACAGACAGCACAGCACACAGGCATCGCACAGACAGCACACACATGCATCACACAGGCATAATCACACAACCAGCACACACAGCACACACACAGCACACAGACAGCACACAGACATAATCACACACACAGCACACACACAGCACACACACAGCACACAGACAGCACACAGGCATAATCACACACATAGCACACATGAATCACACACACAGCACACAGATATAATCACATACACAGCACACACACAGCACACATACAGCACACACCCATAATCACACACACACAGCATACAGGCACAATCACACAGCCCCCCCCCCCCCCATCACAGCAAACACACAGCACACAAGACAAACACACAGCACACAAGACAAACACACAGCACACAAGACAAACACACAGCACACAAGACAAACACACAGAGCACACACGACAAACACACAGAGCACACAAGACAAACACACAGAGCACACAAGACAAACACACAGCACACAAGACAAACACACACAGCACACAAGACAAACACACAGCACACAAGACAAACACACACAGCACACAAGACAAACACACACAGCACACAAGACAAACACACAGAGCACACAAGACAAACACACAGAGCACACAAGACAAACACACACAGCACACACAAGACAAACACACACAGCACACACAAGACAAACACACACAGCACACAAGACAAACACACACAGCACACACAAGACAAACACACACAGCACACACAAGACAAACACACACAGCACACAAGACAAACACACACAGCACACAAGACAAACACACACAGCACACAAGACCAACACACACAGCACACAAGACAAACACACACAGCACACAAGACAAACACACACAGCACACAATACCAACACACACAGCACACAAGACAAACACACACAGCACACAAGACAAACACACACAGCACACACAAGACAAACACACAGCACACACAAGACAAACACACACACACAGCACACAAGACAAACACACAGCACACACAAGACAAACACACATAGAGCACACAAGACAAACACACAGCACACACAAGACAAACACACACACAGCACACACAGCACACAAGACAAACACACAGAGCACACAAGACAAACACACACACACACAGCACACACAAGACAAACAGACACAGCACACAAGACAAACACACACACACAGAGCACACAAGACAAACACACACACACAGCACACACAAGACAAACACACACACAGCACACACAAGACAAACACACAGCACACAAGACAAACACACAGCACACAAGACAAACACACACACAGAGCACACAAGACAAACACACACAGCACACAAGACAAACACACAGAGCACACAAGACAAACACACAGCACACAAGACAAACACACAGAGCACACAAGACAAACACACAGCACACAAGACAAACACACACAGCACACAAGACAAACACACAGCACACAAGACAAACACACAGCACACAAGACAAACACACAGCACACAAGACAAACACACAGCACACAAGACAAACACACAGCACACAAGACAAACACACAGCACACAAGACAAACACAAACACACACAGCACACACAAGACAAACACACACACCCAGCACACACAAGACAAACACACACACACACGACAAACACACACACACAGCACACAAGACAAACACACACACACACAGCACACAAGACAAACACACAGCACACAAGACACACACACAGCACACAAGACAAACACACAGCACACAAGACAAACACACACAGCACACAAGACATACACACACAGAGCACAAGACACACACACAGCACACAAGACACACACACACAGAGCACAAGACACACACACAGCACACACAAGACAAACACACACACACACAGCACACAAGACACACACACAGCACACAAGACACACACACAGCACACAAGACAAACACACACAGCACACAAGACACACACACAGCACACAAGACACACACACACAGAGCACAAGACACACACACAGCACACACAAGACAAACACACACACACACAGCACACAAGACACACACACAGCACACAAGACACACACACAGCACACAAGACAAACACACAGCACACAAGACAAACACACACAGCACACAAGACACACACACAGCACACAAGACATACACACACAGAGCACAAGACACACACACAGCACACACAAGACAAACAAACACACACACGGCACGTGCACACTGTACACAGTCCACGTGTGCCCCGCGCGAGTACAACAGCGGGCGACCTGGAAGGCGCGCTCCCAGCCTCCCTGCCCGCGCTCGATGGCCCTGAACGCCTCCTCCATTCCGCCCGGGGGGGGAGGGGGGGGGAATCGCGGCGAGGCCTCACGGAGTCGCGGCCTCAGACCGCCGCCTCCACACCGACTCGCACAGGCCACCACGCCCTCCCTTGCCCAACCGTCCAACGGCCCCGCCTGTTGCGCGGTGACGTAGAGCCCCTGCGCGATGACGTAGAGCCCCTGCGCGGTGACGTCGCGTTGCAGCGCGGTGACGTAGAGCCCTTGCGCGGTGACGTGGCGTCCCTGCGCGATGACGTAGAGCCCCTGCGCGATGACGTAGAGCCCCTGCGCGGTGACGTAGAGTTTCTGCGCGGTGACGTAGAGCCCCTGCGCGGTGACGTAGAGCCCCAGCGCGGTGACGTCACGCTTCTGCGCGGTGACGTCGAGTTCCTGCGCGGTGACGTCATGTTCCAGCGTGGTGACGTCACGCCCCAGCGCGGTGACGTTGCGTTCCCTGCGCAGGCGCGCGCGCGCTCGCGCCGCCGCCCTGCGCGATGACGCAATGTCAGCGCGATGACGTACGTTGAAATGACGTAATTGCACAGTGGACGTTTTTCAATCGAGTGGGTTTGCCGACGTTGAAATATTTGTCAGAATCTGTTATTTATCCTGGAGGAATCCGATGAGATAGAAAGCTCTCTTTCACAAGTGTCCAATAAGGAGCGGATCAAAACGTTACAACAACAAACAATAAAAAAACTATAGGATTTCAAAGTTAAATGTTTTACCGAAAGAACCATTTAATAGGATTGCAAAGTATAGGAAAGGTAAGAAAATCGCTTAAAAATATATACAAAAAAACTAAACAAACTAAAGATTCTGATATCTGTATTATTTTTTACGCCACTACCGTACGCAATGACGTACCAGTCCCCAAAATACGTCATCACGTAAAGAGTAATGCGTACGTTGTGACGTCATCACGTCGAGCCACCACTACCATCCGCTCTGCCCAATCAGCGGCGTGTTTACACGAACCCCGCGTGTGGGATAGCCAATGAACGCACATCACGCAACGACTCACCTGATTGGTGGATGCCGGAGAACGTGGGAGGGTAACGGCGTTTCCCATTGGCTGAAATGGGCACCGGAGAATGGGGAGCGGTGTCGGGAGGGGGATTTTGGGGGGCGGTGTCGTCCCATGCGCATGCGCAATAGAGGAGGGGTGTTGGGAGGGGGGTTAGGGCGGGGCAGTGTTGCCCCATGCGCATGCGCAGTAAGAGAAGGAGTGTCGGGAGGGGGGTTACGGGGGCTGGTGTCGTACGATGCGCATGCGCAGTAGGGGAGGGGTTTCGGGAGGGGGGTTCGGGGGGGGGGCCGGTGTCGTCCCTTGCGCATGCGCAGTGAGTAGCGGGTGACGCGACAGCTCTAGCAAGGGTTTGTGTGGGCCCTGTGTGGATAATCCTTTACTAGTTCATTTTTTTTGTAAGTTTCCTTCAGTTGAGTTCACATATATTCTTGTTTCGTCCGTTGTACCGTGGGTTTTTGCGGCCAAGCCGAGATGTCATACGCCTATCTCTTCAAATACATCATCATCGGCGATACGGGTGAGGCCTGGCCCGGGAGGCCTCACTCAGGCCGGCAGGCGATCAACATCGTTAAATACTAACGGAGCCCTTATAACTACAAATACACAGCGTGTCGTGTGAACGGTAGTTGTTGATGTTTATTTCCTTTACGCTTTGTAAGTAGTTAGTCGTAATAACCCGTAATGTGCCGATCAACCGCTTCGATCTGATCAGAGAAAGGGTGAAAAACCGACGTCGCCTATTATGTATTTATTTGCTTGGTTTTAAGGCCACTTGGTTCTTTCGGTAAAGTCACGTAGAAGGGAAATAATAAAATATACTTATTTTATTATTTCCCTTCTACGTGACTTTACCGAAAGAAGCAAGAAGATGAATCCCTGCAGTCACGAAAGCTTTAAATCGAAATTTAAGGCCACTGTCATTGACGAATTCGTCGAGTTTTTTGTGTTGATTATAATGGAAAGTATAACTTAAAATGTGTAGCAATTATGGTAATGGTTACGATGGCACTAGTTGGTTTTGCTCAATTATATTGAAATGTGTAGCAATTATAGTAATGATTACGATGGCACTAGTTTATTGGTTTTGCTCCATTATATTAACGCTACTAGGCAAAATACACTTGGCATAGTAATAATGAGTTGTAATGACGTAGGCGGTAATGTTTAACATAATTACGGTAGTTAGGATAGTTATTCTACGTATAGTAACATAGTACTGACCCTTATAATAATCGTCATAAATAATTGAGGTAGAAATAGGCGTTATTACAGTAATCGTGTTGTGCAGTCATGATAAAAAACTATCTATAATCGAATTTAAACTAATTTTGCTTGTATATATGTAATCAATGCTGCATAAATGTTAATTGTGCACTCACTGCAAGGAGAGACGGGTGCTTGAATGAGACATTGTCTAATTGTTGATGTTATTGATTTCCTTTACAACTATGCAAATGATTATTGTGTACGAGTAATATAGTTGTAATCTTGACTTAAAGCTTAATATAGTTGTGTTTATATGTAATTAAAATCGTGATGGTAGTAGGTACTTGCACAATAATGTAGGAATGAAGTGCACTGGTGTGGTGATAGCATGTATAAATGAAGTTACAATCCTATGTAATAGTTACGATGACAGTAACGAGATCATTGTACAATTCGAACTCATTAATATGACCATTCGATAAACGTGGTCATGACAATGCTAGTGCGGCTATGATAATAGTTGTGATGTTGTCATCGGGCCAAGCAGTGCTCTTTAGTGAGAGGGGAGAGCTCGACTCGGTCTGAAGGTCAGACTAAATAGCTCTTGTCGGGCGTCGCTCTGAGATCATCATCCTTCCAGAGTAAAAAAATATATATACACGAGTTCCACATTGTAGAAGGGCAACTTTCACTGTTCATAAGTGAATTGGGCCCCGCCATACGAATATGGAATTTGCACTTCTGTATCGTTGCCCTCGACAGAGATGAATACCGCCCCCCATTGCTCGTTGGTGAACAGGGAGGTGATTTGGCTAAGATCGGTGGCTTTGCCCTTTTAAAACAAACAAGATAGGCATACGCATGGATTCTGGAATGCAACACACACACCAACCCACTCGTATAACCCATGTACACACAACCCACACGACACACGCGTATAACCCACACACACATTTAACCCACACACACGCAGATCCCGCATACACAGAGAACATACACACAACCCATACCGCACACAATCTGCACCACACACAGAACCCTCACCACACACACACAACCCACACCACTCATATGGAACCCGCACACACACACAACCCTGCCACGCACAACCCACACACACATAGAGCCTACACCACTCATACATAGAATGCACATCTATAGAACTCACACCACACACAGAACCCATACCACACATATCTATAGAACCACACCACACACAAAACCTACACCAAACCTACACAATACACACACAACCCACACTACACACACCTACAGAACCTCACCACACACACACAGAGCCCACACCGAACCTATAACAACACACAGAACACACAGAAAAACGTAGAACTATGTGAGATGGTGATAATGTTGCGAGCAGTGAATTTATTATGGCTGATGGTGGTAAAGATGATGGGAGACATGCTGACAGCCCCTCTTGTCTCCCGCTTGCCCGAAACGCACGTGCAGGTGTGGGGAAGTCGTGCCTGCTGCTGCAGTTCACAGACAAGCGCTTCCAGCCCGTGCACGACCTCACCATAGGTGCGTCTGCCCGTCCCCATCTCGCCCTACTCAACCCCACCTGTCCATGCCATGAGTTCCGTGTCTGAGCACTTGCATTGCCTGATCAGCTATGGGGGTGATTTTCAGTTTATGAAAATTATTGTAATTCTGCCTGTGTATGGTTGTTTGATTTGTTGTCATGTTCAATGTGAGCGTGCTGATATGAGTGTGTGTGCTTCTCTCCGAGTTGGCTTCCCTGTGCCTGTGAAAATGCATGTTTATTCTCTGCTCTGTGTGAATGCTTCTTCGTGTGTGTGAAATTGTGATTGTGTTCTTCGTTGGGAGCAGTAAAGTGGTGTTTAGTGCTAAGTGCACAGTGGTACATTACAGGTGGTCAGAAGTGGACTCCCGCTCCCGGCCAACGTCAGTGGCGAATATCTGAACGAGTCTCCTTGGTAGACTCAGCCTTAAATGAGTACCTGGTGCAGTGTGTGAACATTAACACGGGGTAAACAAAGGCGTCCAGGTGTGGTACCAGCCACATCACCCCTTCATAGATGCGCCGTGCCGGCCTTTCATAGATGCTCACTAATAGCACTTGCCTCAGAAGCCTGTGTAGGCAATACGGAGGATCTTTGTCTTGTTGGTGTGCTCTTCTGTGTCTGAACTTTTTTGTGTAAACATGCACGTGTGTGTGTTGGCTCTGCTTTTTTTATTGGAGTGTATCTGTGAGCGTGCAAATGCTAACATTGGTTTTATTGAAGTATGTATGCGTAGATCACACAAATGGATGATATAGCACGGTCACCATGGCAGCTTATCAAGGAGCATTTTGTTAAAGAAGGGCAGCATGGTACGCTTGAAATATAATATCATTGTGAAAGGAAAAAAACATAAAATAGCAAGTACATACACTCAGCTTTCTGCCTATGGTGGGCACTGCCCATGGTGTACACGAGTAGCATTTGCCACCCCAGGTGATACCGATCATCTCCCTTTTGCTCATGACCTCATCGGAACCAGTCCTGTGCCTCCCCGAGGTTTACTGAGGCTTAAATACGTATCCGGTGTGTTGTCTCAATATCAGCACTTGTGCATAGTGCTTTCCACAGGACCACCTCGTGCACCGTGCCAGTCTGCATAGGTGCTCACTAGCAGCACTTGCACCTGTGGGGTTTGCAAGGCTAAATGGGGGAATACTTTCTATTTGTTTACAGGAGTCGAGTTTGGTGCACGGATGATCAACATTGATGGGAAGCAGGTGAAACTACAAATATGGGACACGGTACGTGACGCCAGTTGTTACTCGTTGCACAACTGCAGTAGGGACAATATGGGGTCGGAACCATTGGCCTAGGCAGCAGAGGCATGAGGATTGAATGTGGTCCGAGTGTGTTTGTTGATCAAGAGGTGTGGGGGAAGGACGACAAACTTAACACAAAAAGCAGTTTTAAAGAAATGTGTTTTCAATATAGATTTAAAAGTGCAGAGCTCCAGTGACTTTCTAATATCGAACGGAAGAGCATTCCAGATGGTCGCAGAAGCGAATCTGAAAGCGCATTTCCGCTATGGACAACAACATACAACTTTATAGTATGGTTCACAACACGCTAGTTTGAGAGTTTTTAGTTATATATTTACATGAACATAAATGGCACAGAGCAGCATGTGTTCATGGTGAAAAGGTGATTGCGGATTCTGGAGGCTCCAATATTGAAAATGCATATACGTAATTAAAAACTCACAAGCTCTTTGGTTTGCGAGCTATAATTTCAAGTCGTATGCGTGTTACCATAGCATATATGTATGAACACTAGTATCTGTTTCTGGAGAATCTGTAAATGCAGCCACATCCGAAAGAACAGTAATCATTACATTAAACTATAAACTAAACTGTTTATAATTTTCAAGTAAGGCCCACTGAACTATATTGCTATTTTTTCTGAAGAAACATGGCCATCACAAATGATAGCTCAACTAGTTTAGCTTACGTGACATGTTTCTCAATATGGAGGGAAAAATCAGAGGACCTGGAGAAAAATCCATGCGACCGCGGGATGAACATGCAAACTCCAAATATGCAGCAGGCGTCAGTCGGAATCTAAACCACTACCTCCCGTATACCAGGCGAGGCAGTTAACATCTCGCCACCATGGTGCCCCTAACACGGCGCATCTACGCAAAACCATGACATACCACCTCGAAATTTGGTTACTTGGAAAAGCGGTTGAGCGCTGTTAGTGAGTGAGCACCTGTCGAGGACGAGCCGTGTGACCCCACGTGTGCCGCGTGTAGGCGGGGCAGGAATCGTTCCGCTCCATCACGCGCTCCTACTACCGCGGTGCCGCCGGGGCCCTCCTGGTCTACGACATCACCAGGTGATCGCGGCCCTCGATGCCCTGGGTTACACACCAAGGCCATTTCAGCGCAATAGTCTCCGGCACCGCAGTCGCTGCGAGTAGCAGCGGCGACTTGGTATAGCAGTGGTGCGGAGTCATGTCTGGCCAATGAAAACAGAGTTCGTGGAACAGTGTTTTTAACGGACAATGATAAATGAGCGAGTGGGCATGAGTGCCAGAAGGCTCTTTTTAAGGACGCTCCTTCCAAGTTTTTCGCAGTAGGTGGCGACGTTGCTACGTACATTCCCAGTAATTTGCAGCGTAATTTTTCTAATCTGGACCATGACGCCGACAATTTTTGAGTACAACGTTTCGCTGGTAATTCGCCAGAATTCTGGCGAATTGCCCGATGATGCTGGATGCAATTACCAGCGAAACGTTGTACTCAAAAATGTAAAATGTTGTGGTTTCACTCTTCAACACACCGGTGGGGTATAAGTAGTGAACTCTTTGTCTTTTGTCAACGTGACACATTTTTGCTGATTGGCCGTGTCGCGTGGTGGAGGGTTACGACACATTTATAAATAACGCGATCTAACCCAAAAAACTTTTATTATGCCTCATGATCGACACAAGTGTTGTGTGCACTGAAGCCCACATATTAAATAGACATTGATGGAGTTGGCCAAAGGTCCAAATATAGAACCACAGTTGGGCTCTTTAGCCAGTGGACACATAGGCCACATCTAGCCCATGACAGCTGTTCGAGTGGTCCGCCAAGCTGTGACCTGCCGAGGGATGTGGCTTACTGCGAGATAAACGGTTCGGATTTCTGAGATGAATCGGACTAGAGAGGACCATGCCAGGTTTGAGTTTGATGTTATTTTGGTTAACCCGGTGAGAACTTAATAGACCAGGATAATCTTGTTTGTAAGAGTTTGACCTGGGTTATCTAAATGACGAAAGAAATGCAAGTACAACAATGAGGCAAATAGAAATCGGGGCAAAAACGCCCACATTACAGAAGGCGTTTTTAAAAGTGCACAAACAAAATCAGAATTTGTAATACATTTCCAGAAGCAAAACTTGGTTCGGACAAATTACTGTTATCAATCATGCATGGTAAAATTACCGAAACATCGAACATAGATTAAGGGTGACAATTGCAGCAGTTTTTAAATGGTCGAGGACTGCGTCAAATAATAACTGCAAAATGAGGTCATCGCTAATTAATCGACAGCTCGGCATAAACATTTTCATGCCGTCACGTCTAGAGCGCGGAGCCTCGGGCAGTCGTAAAGCTACCTCTCGTTTTACGTGGTGGGGTTTTGTTCTTGAAAAACGGCACGTAACTCAAAATCGCGTAAATTAAGCGTAATTTTCCCATAAGAAATTAAGAGAAATAGTTGGGGTTATGGGGAGCATGCTATCAAACACCTCATTATTACGTCTACATATTTCACCGGTTACAATACGTATTACAGTCACAATACTACCATACATGTATTGCAGATAGTAACAGCCGAATTAAAGAATAAAGAAAAAAAATACATTTTTAACACGTAGTGAGATGCTTGAGTGTGGTGTACTGGGGCTAGTGGATGGGAGGAGTGGAGAGTGGCACGTAGGGAGATGCTGATGATGCCCGCGCTTGTGGTTGTCAGTACTGCGCCTTGGGTATCGCTCATGAATTTTGCTGCCTGGCTAACAATTAGCTCGCAAGCGCGTTCCATACACCGTGACCGACGCTCTGGAGTGCGTTATTTCAACAATAGTACATTTATAACAAAATGAGTGTAAGTTAATCTCGCGCGCTATTTCATAATCGCGTTATGTAAACTGCTCGTAAAATTCCAGGCAACTATTTGCCTTCGTAGTTTGATTGTAAATACCATCCCAAGTGTCCACTAGGGGGTGCAGTGATCACATTTGTCCAAAGTTTGGCGGCTTTGTGTATTTTTTTGACAATAGGGATTGTTGGGTGAACAAATACCGGTGGTAGTGGTAACTGCTCCGTTGTTGCGTCCGCAACCCTCCTCTGCCCCCGCCCCCCACCGCACTGCTGACGTCAGGAGAGACACGTTCAACCACCTGACCACATGGCTGGAGGACGCTCGCCAGCACTCGAGCTCCAACATGATCATCATGCTCATCGGCAACAAGAGGTGCAGCCACTACATTTGTCGGCGGAGGGGAAAGGCAGAACAGGTGCAGGGATAGAGAAAGGAATGAGGGGCGAGGGGGACGGGGGGAGAGATTGATAGAAGGAAGAGAGAGGGGATGAGAGTTAGCCAGGCTGGCAAAGAGAGGAAGGAGGAGATGGGTATGATAGGAGGGATATGTATGTTGAACTTCTTTCACACCTTATGTAGCTGGCCGTGCTAATCGGAAGTGCAGGGGAAGTACAACAAACTAAACACTAAAAGCAATTTTAAAGAAATGAGATAGGCTGAGAGACGGAGTGGAGTGTGAGGGTAAAACAGGAAAAGAGGGAGAGGCGAGACAGGAAGGGGGGGTGGTGGAGAGGCATTTATTAGAGACATGAGTATAGACGAAGTCGAATTGACACCATTGGAACCTCATTTGCCAGTAAAAAATATGATAATTGTTTTTTTACCCTTTTATCTGGCAACAAAACTGACACCTTTTTTTTTACAAGGAGTCATGTTTGCATAGACCACAATACCTGCAGTCATAATGCAAAAAAAAACATAACTCTTATGATATATGCACTGTCCTTGAAGTTGATTGGTCCACACCCGAGACAGCTTTCCTTAGAGCCTAGTCTCACATGGTGGTGTGCGCCTTTTGGCGTCATCATATAGAGGGATAGACAGAGGATAAGAGACCAGGAGAGGCTGAGAAAGCGATATGAGAGAGCGTGATGAACAAGGATAGACGGACAAGTAGAGTTGGAGACACATTTCCAGAAACAGATACAGGGGGGGAGTGATGGAGATTGACTTACAGATAAAGAAAACACAATATGATCATTGACATCGTTGTGTAGAATATAAGTCACAAAATAAATACAAAGGTAATACATACCTCCTTCCCATGTCTGTTTGTCCAATGTTTTGTGTACTATACAGTTGTGTATTCAACTAACCGCCATGCCTAACAAAGATGGTCCTTGATTGTGAACGTCTGGCACTTCAACCGGAATTATTCCAAGCAAGCCCGACTCGTGATAAGACACTGAATTTCTAAAACGCCGCAGAATTTACATGCGTTTACATGCGTTGAACCAAATACCGCTGAGGGAAGGGTCGTATGGCTAATGGACAGATATACGTGAAGGAGCTGGGGTCTATTAGAGGTGGAGGAGACAAGTGATGCCCCCCCCACCATGTGTGCAGTGACCTGGAGTCCCGACGTGACGTGAAGCGCGAGGAGGGCGAGGCGTTTGCACGCGAGCACGGCCTTGTGTTCATGGAGACATCCGCCAAGACTGCGGCCAACGTCGAGGAGGTGAGGGCACCGGCGTCATCCGGAGGACAAAGTCGCAAAGACTCCTCCTTGCAGTCGCTTCACGGAGAGGCCTCTTCACTCGTGGCGTAACAACACCTCGTCGCCGTCATCCCTTGCGGCGACGTGTTCGCTGCGTGACTCGCTGCGGAGAGCCGTAGCGACACGACCGCGCGCTACGATTAGCCAGCGCTGAAATGTGGCAAAAGGGTTAATTGGCTCAAAACAAGTTGCGTTTAGTGTTTAGCGACACGACCGCGCGCTATGATTAGCCGGCGCCGAAATGTGCCAAAAGGGTTAATTGGCTGAAAACAAATTGCGTTTAGTGTTTAGCGACACGACCGCGCGCTACGATTAGCCGGCGCCGAAATGTGCCAAAAGGGTTAATTGGCTAAAAACAACTTAATATGTAGAGGACCGCAGAGTTTGGGATATTGTTGGCATCGGCTCACCGCGTTGCTGCTGGCTCTCCTCGCTTGTTTGTGGTTCTTGCTAGCGACTCCGAGGCGTTCTGTCTTTGAGAGTGAGCGAATACTGTGCGGCCCGTTACACTGGTTGACGTTATTTTCATTGATGCCTTCTAAAAGTGTTGTTTACGATTGACGTGTTTAATGTTTGCATACCGTTTATTCAAATAAATGCTTATTCTGATTTTAATCTCCCCCCGCCCATAGGCCTTCATCAACACAGCCAAAGAGATCTACCAGAAAATTCAAGAAGGAGTATTTGACATCAACAATGAGGTGCTTACCTATGTAACAGCCTTGTATCACACCGTAGGCCCACAGTTGTCGGCACGTGCATAGCATCGCTGATTACGAGAACATTTGATTTGAAAGTTAATCTTCTATGCTAAACTAATAACTTCTTGGCAAGACTCCATTGAAATTGAGAAAAAATGATTCAAACAGAGCTGACAGGTATAGACTGAAGGGTGGCTTGGAAATGCATGATTAAGTAATCACATGACAACCTTAATATAATATTGTATTAACATGTACTGAAACGAATGCAGCACCAACATACTTATTCTCACACAGATTTGTGAAGAAGTCCTGTTTCGGTCTTAAATAGGGGCGTAAAGGCGTCATCACTGAGAGCCTATCAGGTGCGGCGACCAGAGGGGTGGGCGGGATTAGTGCGCCTTTTGGCGTCATCTGGTCCAACCCATGTGAGACTAGGCTCTAAGGAAAGCTGTCTCGGGTGTGGACCAATCAACTTCAAGGACAGTGCATATATTATCAGAGTTATGTTTTTTGTTTGCATTATGGCTGCAGGTATTGTGGTCTATGCAAACATGACTCCTTGTAAAAAGATGTTTTGTTGCCAGATAGAAGGGTAAAAAACCAATGATCATATTTTCTACTGGCAAATGAAGTTCCAATGGGGATTAATGTCGTCAAATAAATCATGTAATAATTGATTTTTTAACCTTCTATCTGGCAACAAAACTGACACCTTTTTTTACACAAGGAGTCATATTTGCATAGACCACAATACCTGCAGTCATAATGCAAACAAAAAACATAACTCTGATAATATATGCACTGTCCTTGAATTTGATTGGTCCACACCCGAGATAAGTATTTTTTAGAGCCTAGTCTCACATGGGTTGGACCAGATGACGCCAAAAGGCGCACAACTCAAAGACAATGCACCATCAGAGTATGAGAGCTAGGGTAAAGCATTTACACCATTGGAACCTCATTTGCCAGTAAAAAATATGATAACTCATGTAAGTTTGTAAGACCACACCAGGGACCTCACGCTCCGCGTAACTGTGCATTCGTATGTTTCTCTGGCAGGCGAACGGCATTAAGATCGGGCCCCAGCACACACCGGTGGGTTCGGCTGCTCCTGGTGCAGCAGGCAGCGCCCAGGGTGGCGTGGGCTGCTGCTAGTGCCTCCTGGGAGAGATGACGGTAGTGGCGATGGCGGCGGCAGCGGCGGCGATTGCGGTGTTGGTGGTCACGCGTACGTGTGGTGCTGGAGGTGGGGAGGGGTGGGCGGAGGGTACTCCAGAGAACGAGAGACACCCACCCAACCGTGGCAGCGATCGGGCACGAGGGGCAGCGCTTGCCCTATTTTGCTTTGCGTGATGTCACGGTGCGTGCGTGTGTATGTTACGTGCGTCGTGACAAACCCGTTTCCCCCCCCCCCCCCCGTCGACCCCACGTGAACCCCGCTTCCCCCATACACACCACACTCGATACACCGCTGTGTATTCTGCGAGTACTGGCTGCCCTTCCACCCACATCCCTCCGTACATCACTCCACAGCCCAGCTGACATCTCCCTGCCTAAACCTTTGTCCTCTGCCTTCCAACCCCCCCTCCCCTCCCCGCCTCCCCGCCTCCCGTTATCCTGTGACGGGTTTTTGCACTCCGGTTTGAGTTTGTGAAAATGACAGCGCTGCGAGTGTTCTCCGTGCGGGAGAGGGGGTCACCTGCAGCTGAGCTGCCCAGGAAGTTGTCGGGTTCGGTTGGAGTCTTGAGTAGGTGGCGGTGACGCATCTGTTTTCTTTTGGCCATTAGACGGAATATTGACCACTGCTTGTTTTTTTGTTGTTGTATTATATGCAGATTAAAGACCACGATGCTTTTCGTTAATGATGGTGATTATTATGATTTGTTGACATTGATAATAAGGGTGGTAATGTTGGTGATAATTATAATGATGTAACAAGCTTGTTTTTTTATGTTTTCGTACATTCCCATGACCTTGTTTGTGTGCAAAAATGTTGGATTTAGGCTCAAGGTGGCTGGGAGAGTGTGGGGAAGGGTGATTTAAGGAGATGGAGCAAAGTTAGAAACTTCTAAATTCTACGATTTTTGCTTTGCACAGGAATATTTTTAGTGCCATGCAAGTGTCTGTCTTGGGCATGGACTTTGTGTTGAGCGAGACATCTGTTCAGATTTGTTTGATTTAAAACATGGTATAGTCGTCTCCATGAGCATCGGTTTGGATCGGGGTTTTTGTTTTGTATCTCCGGATTGAAATTTTTCCGAACCAGAAGCTGTGGATAGGGAGTGGTCGTTAGCGTCGCCAAAAAAAAAAAGCATTAATTTCCCCGGGTAACCAACTAAAGCGATGGCTCACGAAACGTTAAGTTGTGACCGCGTGTTGCTGCAATGCTCGCACGTTTTACATATAAAGGCACTACAGTAGCGATCCCTATGCCCCCAAATTGTAGGCAAGCGCGTATGCGGTGGGATGATGGTGACAAATGAAGTGTACCGTCTTGTTATCGCTGCTCACCATTGGGTATCAAATGCAGCGCTTTCACACGTTTTACACATGGCGCACTCGACACTATGTATGCATACGTATGTATGTTGCACTTCTTCCGCACCGTACGTATCCAACGGTGATAATTGGAGATGCAGGGGATGGACAACAAAAACACAAAGCAGTTTTAAAATTACTCTTTGGTTCTTTCGGTAAAGTGACGTATAAAGAGAAAATAATAAATTAAATACTAGCATTCGACGTTTCGATTGCAACACAAGCAATCATCAGGTATAAATGAAATAGAAACACAAATCTAGTATTCTTAGAAATGTAATGTAATACAACAGAGAGTCGGATATCATAACGGTCAACACCCTACCTGGTTGATTACGTTCTTCCTGAGAATGCTACATTTGAGAGAGAGATAAAACACAGTTCTAAAATGTCGTGCTCAAGTTGATGGAGAGACGTCGTGGGCATTAGGCAATTTTGCGTGGGTTCCCTCTCCGATTTGTGCCCACTTGTTCCAACCTCTGTCGTCGTCGGCTGTCTCGGAGACGGTGCAAAGCAGCCTCGTACAGCCCCCAACGTAAACGTCTTGAGATGCTCGCAAGCTTAGGCTGCTCCTGCACGTCAAGCCATGGTTGTAGCTTGGAATATTCTGCACGTGCAATACGGAAGCGACAAACACGATGACGGCTAAACAACAATAACAACTTCGATTTAAAGCTTTAGTGACTGCAGGGATTCATCTTCTTGGTTCTTTCGGTAAAGTCACGTAGAAGGGAAGTAATAAAATAATGAAAATAAAACATAATAAAATAATTCTCACGATGTTTCGGCCACAACACAAGCAGCTGTCCTCGGGTGAAGACCAGGTCTGTCGAGGCGTGGTGGTGTTTCATTCAGACGCTGTCGCCTCGACAGACCTGGTCTTCACCTAAGGACGGCTGCTTGCGTTGTGGCCGAAACGTCGTGAGAATTATTTTATTATGTTTTATTTTAATTATTTTATTACTTCTCTTCTACGTGACTTTACCGAAAGAACCAAGAAGAACATTAACAACATCAAGTTGAGTTTATTATCTGGCGGCTGGAATGCAACTGCATCTCAGGACGAGTCGAACCATGCCGGTTGATTGTGGCGGTGACGCAGAGTTGGTGGTGTGTCGCACCTTGTGGCTTCCAGTGACTGGAACTTTACCGATAGGTGCCCCACCGCGTAGCACACGACACGGTTGTACATAAGTTAATGTACATCCTTGCCGAGCACCAAATTTACGGTGGCTGGAAACAAATGTAAAAAATTAACCCGTAAAAACAAAGTTTTTCACTCTAAATCCTTTATATGTGTGGCGGCTAGAGTCCTCTCGTCCTCTGGCTTGAGATGGCTGCCACCTATGGGTCAGATGATTGCCTGCCAGTATTAAGCAATTGGTAATTAAATGTTTAATTTTTTTCCCCTAAACAGTGTAAAATTTTGGAAAAAAAATTTCACGAAAATTAATTGTCTCGCACAACGAGTCTGTGTGCAAAATGTCAGCTCGATTGGATCACGGGAAGTGGGTTAAAAAACGACCGAAAGATTTACACGGTCGTAAGCAAGCAAGCAAGCGAACTTAATATAAAGGATTAAAAAATGAACAAAACATTGAAGGAAATTCTGTTAACACTTTTTGGTGCCGTAAAACTTTAGGTACGAGTTGGGGCGCTGCTGCTGCTGCTGTTACCTGTCGGGTGAAACGAAAAAAACTGCATTGCGCTGTCCTACGGTTATCTTACCTCCAATTAAAGTGGGATACTACACAAATAAAGACTACATGTAACGTTCTTGTTTCTCCTTCACTGCATCCCAACTGCATTCAATTGACGATTATCACCCTGCACTGTTTTCCAATACATTTTTTTTAGCTTTTTTTGCTTTTCATGTAAAAAATTTTTTCAAATTATTATAGTTATGAGGATAAATGTGCACGTTTATTTTTTTTCTCATGCATTTCGGATGCAGAGATGAGCTAACTATGTTTTGAATGTCATCCGAGCCAATTATTCCCTATTCGTAATTCAGAAAACTCAAGATTGGCCGTGCACAGGAGACATCACTTAAGTAAAGTAGTAGGTTTTTACCCTTTCAACTGGTACAAAAACTGACGAGGCATCATGTTTGCAATAACCATGACACAAGCAGTCAAAATGCAAACAAAAAGAAACAACTCTGATGATAATAATGAAATGCACTGCTCTTGAAGTTGATTGGTCCACACCCGAGACAGCTTTTCTTAGAGCCTATTCTCCATTGGTGTTGGACCAGATGACGCCAAAAGGCGTACCAATCAACTTCAAGGGCAGTGCATATCATCATCAGAGTTGTTTATTTTTGTTTGCAGTTTTGACTGCTTGTGTTGTGGTTATTGCAAACATGATGCCTTGTATAAAGGTGTTAGTTTTTGTACCAGTTCAAAGGGTAAAAACCTACTACTATATTTTGCCACTGGTAAAGGAGATGTCTCAGTGTAAATCACTTAAGCGGTTCGTACGGTACGTCGTGATCGGATTCACTGTTGGTTAGGCTCTGCTGAGAGTGACTCTTGTTCAAACTGCGGGGCAGCTGCAACCTGACCCACATTCATCTTCTTGGTTCTTTCGGTAAAGTCTCGTAGAAGGGAAATAATAAAATAATAAAAATACAACCTAATAAAATACAATTCTCACGACGTTTCGGCCACAACGCAAGCAGCCGTCCTCCGGTGAAGAACAGGTCTGTCGGAAAGACGCTCTCTTTCCGGAAAGACGCTCTCTTTCCGACAGACCTGTTCTTCACCTGAAGACGCTCTCTTTCCGACAGACCTGTTCTTCACCTGAAGACGCTGTCTTTCCGACAGACCTGTTCTTCACCTGAAGACGCTGTCTTTCCGACAGACCTGTTCTTCACCTGAAGACGCTGTCTTTCCGACAGATCTGTTCTTCACCTGAAGACGCTGTCTTTCCGACAGACCTGTTCTTCACCTGAAGACGCTCTCTTTCCGACAGACCTGTTCTTCACCTGAAGACGCTCTCTTTCCGACAGACCTGTTCTTCACCTGAAGACGCTGTCTTTCCGACAGACCTGTTCTTCACCTGAAGACGCTCTCTTTCCGACAGACCTGTTCTTCACCTGAAGACGCTGTCTTTCCGACAGACCTGTTCTTCACCTGAAGACGCTCTCTTTCCGACAGACCTGTTCTTCACCTGAAGACGCTGTCTTTCCGACAGACCTGTTCTTCACCTGAAGACGCTGTCTTTCCGACAGACCTGTTCTTCACCTGAAGACGCTGTCTTTCCGACAGACCTGTTCTTCACCTGAAGACGCTGTCTTTCCGACAGACCTGTTCTTCGCCTGAGGACGGCTACTTGCGTTGTGGCCGAAACGTGAGAATTATTTTATTATGTTTTATCTTGTTTATTTTATTATTCCCCGTCTACGTGACTTTACCGAAAGAACCAAGAAGATGAATCCCTGCAGTCACGAAAGCTTTAAATCGAAACTTAAGCTCCACATTCACTACAGCGCCCGATTTGACGTTGGTCAAGAGAGAGGCGTGGGGCGCGTTAAACTCCCGTTATCCGTTTCTAGCGTAATCGCTCCCCTAAAACCGTTTTGACTTTGAACGAAGCTTGACTTGTCTAATGTTTTATTACGTATCTATCGGTGTATAATTATACATGAGCATACGAGGTGTGACTTGGCGCAACGACCTTTTTCGTTTTAATCTCCGCGTGGCACGCGGCGGTATGGATGTGTGCGCACTGCCGCACGCTGGATCTTGCACGCGTTCTATTAAGTGTGTCCAAAGCTGTATTGTGCAATGTATAAAAATACACTACCATCACCTACCCCACACTTGCAGTCGCTTTATCAGAGCGAATGTATCTGCGTGTTTGTGTTTACGCCCGTTGGTGGTTGTGTACGTCTTGGTTTTGTCTGTGTGCGCGTGCGGTCGAGTATCTGTGCAAAGGGGCCGTCCATAAATGACGTCACGCACCGAGGGGGGGTGGGGGGGGTCAGACATTTGTGACGATGTGTGACGAGGGGGGGGGGTGAGAAATGTGACGTCACATCAAAATGCGCAACTTTAAATAAATATAGATTTGTTATAACAACACTCCTACAACATCAGAGTGCAGCGCCACATTAAATACGCACTTCAATGACAATAGTTTAAAGCGATTTGAAGCATGTTTTATTTGGGGGGGGCAGAGCTTTGTGACGTCATATTTGAGGGGGGGTCTGACTTTTTGTGACGCCGTGTGGCGAGGGAGGGGGGGGTCAAATATCGTCCAAAATCGCGTGACGTCATTTATGGACGGCCCCAATAGAACTTGGTGACTTGGGTTCGAT